CAGAGAGGGATTTAAGTTTTTTATTCAGATTCTCAATGGTCTTTTGGAAGGTGAACATCTTGAATAGAGTCTGCGTAAAGGAAGGGAAATTCAGGTCAGACTAGCTAATAAAGAGTTATAGTAGAAAGGAAACATATTTCAATAAAAAGAGGAGTTACCTTTATGGCAGCAGCTGGGAACCGCTGGAACATCTCTCCAAAAGATAGTTTGTTTTGAATCTCAAGGTCCTTGGGGGTCTAGAAACCCTTGTAGAAAGCAAAGGAGGTGAGAAGGTCCTTGTACACAAAGTCGGTGGGGCCAATGGTCGAGCCATCCTCACAGCTGAGCAACGCCATGGAAGAACGGATGTAGTTGGACCAGAGGTTCTAGCTGATTTGCCCTCTGGAATGAAGAACCAAGCAGGGGGTAATGGTTCAGTAACTCTGAAAGAAGCCATCCTGGTCCTTCGGGCTGGTGGCAGGGGCGGAGCTAGGATTACAAAGTAAGGAAGGCTAAAAATAATTAAACCCATGATTGCTTAGTGTGTCATTCATGCTCTAAATAAGAATTCTCATGATCAGTCATTTAATTTAACCCAATAATTTACATCCTTTTAACATATTTACACTTCCAAACTCTAATGTATTTTCATAGTCAAGAATCCACTGAAGTCTGCTTCATGCAAGTACTAAAACAAAACACCTACAAGAATGCAAGATATATATGTTCCTTATTAAAAAATTCACATTAGAAAGTAAGACCTATGTGCTCCGCCCCTAACTAGTTATTAATCCATTATATAGTAAATTACACAATTTAACAAGAAATTATCAACAAGTCATCAACAAAGACCTTTTTTTTTTTACAAAAATAAAATTCAATATTTCACTGGATTAACAATAATAATCAATCATACACATCCACCTATGCCTTAGTATCTTACACACGAAGAGTTTAGGTCTTCTTCCATAGACTAACAATGTGTTTGATTTACTAAGTTGGGCCATGTTATGTTTTATTATGGTTTATTTTGTGATTGGGTCTGTCTATGGTTCGTGGGTTTACTCATATTTAAGGTTTGGTCTATGCAAATTTTATAACTCCTTTTATTTATAAAAATATTATGAATTGGGCTGGGCTGATAGAAAGAGGAAAAGTGGTACATGGGCTCATAGGAACAATAGTATTAAAAAAATTTCTTCAATTGGACCTGGTCTATAGCCCAGGTTAGCCCATTACCAGTTCATTCCTTGGCTGGTGTGACATCACTCCGGTCATGACCGCCCTCAGGCATTGGCCTTTTTCCTAAACTTTTTTCTGACAGACCAGCACTAGTTGGTCCTCCATTGTCCTGAGAATTTTCAGCATCCTGAGTGCTCTCTAAGGAAGTATCATACGAGATGTTGGAAGGCATAATGATGGGAGCAGTAGGATGGATCTCAGCAGTGTGATCCACAATAGGGTTCTCAGCATGAGTGAGCTCAGAAGGCTCAACAGCAGAACGGTTTGTGACTTGAGTCACAGTTGGAGCAATCACAGCTTGCTCTGGGGCAGAGACAGCAAGCGTGGACGATGTGGTAGCAGGTGTAGATAATGATGTGGTAGTAGGAGCTTTAGAAGAAGTAGGAGCAGAACGCCTCCTCCTGCTGAAAGATGGGATCTGAATGCTCTCCATTGTGGACCCTAAAAGAGAGATGTCAGAGAGATTGTCAAATGTAAGCAAATCAGTAGTTGAAGGGACATTGTTCAGCACACTCTCTTGCAAGATGTCTTACCTAGCCCTGCAGACGCTATAAACCAGTTCATCATGGGGAATTTGAAGGCATCTACAAAGAAAAGTGCAAAAACGAGGAAGGCAACTTTCACAATGGCATTCAGTAAGATGTGTTTTCAGCTTTTTGTAGCCAGAGACAGAGCATGTTCCAAAGGAAGAAGGGATAGAGAAAGACTGGCCGAGCGGAGTCCGCCAATTCCCACTAACCACAAAAAGTTTTGTCTCCAACCTTTTTCAAATGAGTTTTTATCAGTGCAGATCGACCGTTTGTCAATAGGGAATGAGTGATAGTACAAATCATTTTGTGAAATTTTATTAATCCGGTAGCAGAGGAGAAGGTCGATAATGTCAAGGTTGAGACCCCTGTCACGATTCAAGAACAAGAGGACTGAAATTACCCTAAGGAAGTTAGGTTAACCTGCATAGGGCAAAGCCCCAATTTGTTGAAAGCATAACAAAAGAATGGGTGTAGGGGGAACCTAACGACATTCAAATGAACGGCGGAGAATAAAACTTCCCCAGGAAGAAGACCCTCACCAGATCTCCCATCTAAGTTTATTGGATAGACTCTGAGAGAAACATCATGGGGAATGTTATTCTTGGATCGAATGGCGTTCAAATTAGGGGGAGTCATAGAGAAGAGGAGGAGTCCTAGGCAATAAAGGTGTCTTTTTCAAAGAGAGAGGTAAAAAAAAAAAAAAAAAAAAAAAACTGACCTTGGAAGTTTGTGATGAACACAGCAACAGCACAGTAGCCAAAAATCGAAAAGGAAAAACTCGTCGGAATGTGCAGGAAGGCAGCGGAGAGTAGAAGCAAGATATAAAAAAGAAAGATGAAAGTTGAAAAATCGGAATTTATAAGGAGAAAAAGTAAAGGCAACATGGAACTCAAAAGGTAAGGCAAAAAGTGGCGCTGCAGATCTCGAAGTTTGGATTTTTGTGCCAGCCGTTCGATTCCTCGTGCCATCGCTCCGAGCCATCAGACCAAGATCGTGTCTTTTCAATAATCTCACCCTCATTAATGAGGGGAGAGATTATTAGGGGCAGATGAGGATACCAAAATGACCTGAGCTTGGTTTGATCCGTATTGCAAAGGACGGGTCGGGTATGGATAGCCAGGATGGAGCGAGTTCGCGCTGGATGGGCCCAAATCCATGAAGTCATTGCGGAAACCCATATTAAAATGAGAGAAGTTGAGTCCAGGCAAAAGAGAACAAATTAGGCCCCAGGCTAGAGGAGGTTGTAACCGTCTATAAATAAGTAAAATCGAGAGGAAAAATGGGTTAAAAATCATTGGGAGTGTAAAATTTCTCTCTATAATTAAGGGAAATTCTTTGTACTTTCACATAATCAATGATGTGAGGTAAATAAAAATTTGGACTTGCAGGGTAAATCTTTTTTTATTATTATTTTATTAATACATACTCACGTGCATCCACACCCACACTCAATTTTCCGATTTGTGTCTGGATGAAAAAACGGTGAAATTTCATTCAAGTTAACAATTATACTTTCTCCAAAATTGAATCAGAATGCTTGAATTTCATGTCAACGTGACACTGACTAGAATTTTTATTTTCATCAGTGGGACAGCGTTCGGCGCAACCAATTTCGTCATCATAGATTATGTAGAAGTAGAAAATAAGAGCACTGCTTGCAGCTGAAACGGCATAGAGGAACAAGGCGGTAGGCATGCCGAAGGATGGCGCGAATTGGTACGCTATAGCAAGCACTGTGGCCGTAAATAGGAACCAAATTGCATAATTCAAGTAGTCTCTTCTGAGCGATAATCGTTGGGACAATGACACCCAGTATTCTAATGGCACGAAAACAAAGTACACTAAGAAAAGGAGAGCTAGCATGGAATAGTGGCCGTGAACATAAGCCCTGTAGGTTGCACCAATACCATTGGATGCCCAAAACATGTAAATAAGAAAGTGGAAAAGGCTGGTGGTTTCGGTAGCGCATCGGTGGTTAATGTGAACCATGGTGATTGCCATTTGCAGGACAGAGTTGCTATGATTAGTGAGAGGAGAAGCAGCGAGAGAAGATATTAATAGTGGTGGGTGTGGATGGTGGTATGAGTTTGAGGAGTAGCTGGTTTTATATGGATGGGTGTGGGCTCTCAGCAATTGCCCTGATGAAATTACCAAGAACCAGTCATGCCTATAAACGCGGATTCTTTTTCAACTACTACTTTTTTAAAATTTGGAAGTTGAACAGAAATTTCTTCGGAAGTAGACGGAAAATGCAGGGCGTGTCCTTTTCTCTCTTGAATGTTTGTAAGAAAATAACAAAGCAGCAGTGGGCCCTTTTTACCAAGAGATGGAAGCAAATATAAGTGTTTAATGTTTATCAACTACTCCAATTACACTAATTTAATTTTAATTTATAGAAAATAGTAATGTAATTTAAAATTTGTATAATTTAAAATAGTATTTAATTTAAATATTGTATAATAATTTACTTCCGAACAAAAGAATTTAGTACTTTCCTTCCTGTTTTCTCTCCACATCTCTTCTTTCCTTCCTACTGAACACAGCGAGTAAATAAACTAAGCTTGATCTCATTTTACTGCCTTTCATGCCATCAATATTGAAAAATAATTACAATACTATTTACTATAAATTTGAAAGCTTCAAAAATGCATTTTGTACATTGAAAATTAGAAAAGGAGAACCAATTTTATATGTATAAAAAAAAAAATGAATTGAAAATTAAACCGTTGAATGGGCAAGAAAAGAAAACATAGACGCGCAAGAAATATTTGATTCCTTAATAAAGGTAAAGACATGGGCAAGATTAAAGGGAATTAGAGAAGGCCAGAAACAATTGCATTCAAAGAGATTGTGATTCCTAACCCAACAATAAAGGAACATCTTTGCCAAATCAACCTCACAAAATGCTAACCCAAGTACATGTAGGAAGGTCTTCTGTCCACCCATAGTCCAAAACCTAATAGTATTTTCTTCTTTTTCTTTTTTTAACCTTGGTGGTTTGGGCTCACATCATCTCTCTGAACAATATTTCATGGATTGTGTTAAACTGAAATTGCATGAGTTGTTTTGTCTAAATAACAGCCATTGCTTGTTCATCCCAAATTTAATGTGAGCCATATACCGGAGTATAAACATTCATAACTCCCACTGCCATAAGGAATGTCACATGCCATATATGGTAAACTAGACTCGGCAAAGCTGAATCCTACAATCGTATCCCTCGATCAAGCTAGACTTTGCAAACCATACTCCACTCCAAGATATCAAACTATTACATTAATTTTTGATAATTACAATTAAAGAAGTCACACGGAAAGTGTGCGAAGTTGGCATTCAGGTGCTACTAAAAAACTTTCAAGAGAGGTTTGACTTAGCAGTGCTGCAAGAATATTAGCTCCGTTTATAAGCTTGACAGGACATAAATTAATTTGTTCTCAACATTATAATTAAATATAAAGTACACTCTATATCAATTATAATGGTTACTTGTCATGAGACCTTTCTGGATAAATTCTTCAATCCACATCCAACGCATTTAAGTATGACCGTTCCTGTTGATGGATCTGGCTTAATGACAAATTTAACGCCCAGAAAGTCTCTGATGTTCCTAAGTGTTTCTATGCTATATGGCGTGAGCTTTCCTACACGAACCTTAGAAACATCTTGCGGACATAATGCACAAAGAAGAAACAACAAACCCTGTAACCAAATACAAAAGCAACACCTATCAGGTGGTAAAACACAATGAAAAATATATGAAGGGCACATCCCCAATATAATGAATCTCAAAAGAGGGTTTATTTCCTTGTCAAAAAAAGAGAAGTTCATTTGGCAAATGTTGACAAAGATTGCATCTTACGAGATATACTATCAGCATCATTCTCCAATTAATAAATCCATTCTAAAGTTGATTTAGCATTCTAATTTGGCTTATTGACTAGGAAATTTTCACAATAGAACACCCCAAAAGACATTAAACAGTTAAAAGATTTGAGCCCCCTTAACAGCACTGCTCACAATATCCTTTTTCCTTACACTTTATAAGAATGTATATAGAAATTTACATAAAGATTTTATCATTTTCTTACTATACAAACCAATACAAGTAATTGGTCTAAATTTAGATTGTTTACTGCTCATTGGCTGGCAAAAACCATGAGGGGAAATGATGGAGCGAAAGAGAGAGATGACCAATAATATTTTGAAGTAAAAGTTAAAAATTCATAGTTGAGGGTAAAGGAGCAAAATCTTGCATGCCATTGAGGGATGATAAATTAGTTGGGAGTTCAAATGGTATACTGCAGCAGCAAAGCTTTTCCCATATTTTGAAGGATTCAGAATACATTAAGTGATTCATCTAAATAGTTAATTTGAGAAACTTATGGTCATTTGGCTTCCAAAAATAACAAATAAAATCGAGGGGAGTAGCCTAGTGGTATCTCTATTTTATTTTTTATTTTTTTTCATTGGCAAGAAACACTCACACACCCACTTTTTGCCCATATGGGGACTTGAATCATCAACCTTCTACTTTGGAAGGTGAGGAAGTACCATCAGGCTACAAGGCCCTTGGTATCTCCCCAATTTCTTTTTCTTTTTTTCGAAATATATCTCCTCTATTTCTTTTTTTGATAAGTAGTATCTCCTCTATTTCTCAAAGGGGAAGGTGAGGGTTCAAATCTCATTAGGGGCAAAGCCGTGTGAGTTTCTTGCCAAGGGGAAAAAATTATCTTAACCAAAACATCCATTTAAGAGACAAAATTAAAAAGAATGTTGATATTTACAAAACAAAATTGGAGTAACTTCTGTCTAATTAAGTTTCCACATTCACCATCCACTGAAGATTTTTAGATCATGTAATAAATAATAATAATAATAATAATAATGTAGAGAAAATAAAAGGATACCATATTTTAAAATACAAACCTGGTGTGTCGAATCTACCACTCCCCCTTGCTCAATCTCTCCAAGTAGTACAGAAGCAATTTGTTCACCTATATCTTCTGGAGGTGTTAGTTCTTTCTTTTCTTCATCTTCAAATTCATCCTCTTCAACTCCACGTGCATAAGAAACCGCAGTATCAGCAGAGATGAAGCAACCAGAGGTAGTTTCAGCAACTACCGAAAATCCATAACCAGGTGACCTGCCATAAATAATCAATATCCAGATGAGACTAATCATGACTAGCATGCTAATATAAGAAAGAAAAATATGTATTTTACAAATTCATTATGGATTTCCTTGACAAGTGAAACCTAACATACTTTCCCGATTGTGGTCCAGCTTTATGATCGGTAAATATGTGAACATCTGGAAGTAAGCGATTGAAAATTCCACGAGCTGCATGTATCATGGTATTTTCAAACTGAACAGACACCCTAGTTGAGAAGGTAACTCCCCTAATCCTCTTCACCATCCCCTCATCAATCCAGGTGACTGCCTGTATAGCAAGACATAAATACAAGATGCAAAAACATGAATAACTCTGAGTTGAGGAAACTCACTGTTAAACTATTTGGTACAACAGGAACCGACAGAATAATTTCTCCACCACCACTGGGAGGAGCTCCACGGCTCTCAATTTTTAGCTCCAGTCCTTCTGAAGGAACTCCAAAACGCTTCAATATATGTACGGTGGTTGAACGGAAAGTATCAACAGATGGATCCTTGACGTCGTTTGTAATACCTAAAAGCAGTAAAGTAGCAACTCTTAAAATCAAGTGGCAAAGGTACCTTCCTATCTACGACAATTAACAAATCACAGTGTACAGCAGCGACATCAGTCAGTGACTCCATTGAGCTAGAGAGATGGTGCTAGAAAGATCAGTTCATGGAAGTAAATTCTCTGAGGAGATGAAGTATTTTATGGCAAGTGAAAATGACTTTGAGGTGCAGGGCTTAGATCTCCATAGTGTTCGGTAAAACTCCTACTAATATAGTCATTAACACGGATAGAGCAGTGATTCATTAAAATATATAGTGAATTTTGTCAGCACATGATGCTTCTTGGATCCATTCATGGCAGCAACTGCATTTGGTAGGGAGATAGAAGCATATACATTACATTTCTTTATGGCAAATGGGAATGACTTTGGTGCACTTCTGGGCTTCGATCTTCAAAGTGTACATTAAGCTTCTGCTATGATAGTCCTTTATGCTATGTTTGGTTGGAGGGATGGATTGAGGAAGGATGGAAGAGAGGAGGGATGAATGAGCCTCATGTTTGGTTGGAAGGACGGGAAGAGAGGGAGGAAGCAAGGAGGGATGAAGCATCCCTCATTGCCTTAAGTTTTCTTATCCGTCCAAAACTGGGTGGAATAGAGGAGGGAAAGAGTGAATACTGCCTAAATATATAAAACAATTTTGACCTTTCAAAGAAAAACACTTGTTTTTAATAATTTTATATAATGAGGGTATATTAGTAAAAAGATATAAAACCTCTCCATCCCTTCCTTCCAACCAAACTAAAAAAATGTGTCACTCATCCATCATTTTCACTATCTCTTCCATTCAACCAAATAAAAAGTGGGGAAGACACCTTTGACCTTCCCTTCCCCGGGGATGCCTCATCCATCTCTTTCCCTCTCTCTTGCATCGATTTTTCCACCATTCCAACCAAACGGTGCATTAAGGATCGATAGATGATCCATTTTAGAAAAGCACCACTTCTTCTTCTTCTTTATCAGTTGATTCATATCAATAACAAAAAATAAAATAAAATAATACAAAATAAAAGATTACTTATAAATCAATATTCATATATAGTAGATTCATGTGGGTCTTATTTATCACTCCCCTCTTACAAAAGGCAATTAGTGTCAGCTCCTAATATACCCATCCTCATACATACTTGATCATGGATGATACATTAGTTTGGATGCTTTTAAAACAAAATGCATCATGACAGCTATCTCCACCCTTTTCCATGCGGTATCATTCTAAACAATAAATCATAATATTAAAGTCTATTCTGCATCTTCAATCTCAAGCCACGCGTCTTTGTGAAATTTTCACTCTCCATCCCTCTCTACCGTCTTCCCCTCCACAACCACACACAACTCTGATGACAAATATAATCAAGAGTTCCCCTGAGGCCTTGGTTTAATGTTAATTAATTATCAAAGTCGCACCTATAGAAACATTCACAACTGTAATCGCAGTTTTTATGCTTGAAGGCAAAAAATTGCACATACAGGATATCCAGAAAAATGAAATAAAACGGTAGCTAATATTATAAGTGAAGATGCTATCGAGAGAGCTTCCAAGAATTTCCTCAAGTATTCTGATACAAATAACATTATTTCATAGAACACTTCTGCAATAACTAACACTTTCTATTTTTTCTTCACGAGAGGGGGGAGAGAGAGAGGAGGGGGGGCAAACAGCGGAACAAGACCAATCACGACATCCAATATTTGATACTAAGAAACGGGACTTATAAAAGTACCGCAATTTCCAATATCTACATGAAGTGCATTTTGAGTAACAATCTATAAAACATCATACTATGATAAAATAAATAAATTGAAACCAATGAGTCAATGAGAAATAAGTCATCAAACGTTTGAATTCATTGCCTATACAACATTGAGACTAATGAGCATAACCCACATACATGACAACATACCACACGGCAACTTTTGTCACATCCTGAACAGAATCCATGATTACAATTGAATAAACACAATAACTTTGCTTCCTTTCACCTGAAAAGAAAGTCCCATGTTCTATTGGGGAATGGATCTAGTGGCCAAAATGTTGTACCAATGAATTCCCAATAAGACGCTTACTAGCTGGTTTGTAACAATTACGGTACAAAACTTCATCATATTTACAACTTCAAATGACTTGTTTAAAAAATGTTGGAATTTAAAAACCAAGCTTATCTGCTAAGTTATCTTGGACAGAGGATGGGACTTAGATTTTTTTTTTTTTTTCCTTTTTCTTTCTCCGTCTGGGAAAAAGATCTTCCATTTAGAGAATAATCTCATATAAGTATGTGCAAATTTTATATTACCAAATCATTTCAACTTAAATCTGAAAATCAACTTCACAAAAGAATCAAGTACCCTAAAAATACATAGTCAACTAGAATCCAGTATTTGACATGGCAATGGAACCTTTAAGCTCTGAATCCCCAAACAAGTCGTAAAAAACTAACAACTGAGCATCGTCTTCCCATTATTTGCCATCAGACGTAGCGTTCATAGTATCACTGATTTTTATTAAGCAGTTATTAACTCATCTGTACAAGTGTAACTTTAATCTCAATAATTAATAAAATGCATGAAAACATAAGGAACAATGCATAAAAAATTAAAAAAAAAAATTACTCAAAACAAACACCAAATTCAAATATTTAGAGACAAATTCAAAAAAATTAAAACATATAAGAGAAAAATGGAATGAAATAAGTACCTTTGAGCCTTATCGAAAGAGGTTTCTTCCCAAACAAACCAAGCACGACTAGTGACTCCAAAAAGTATCCGATGGACCGGCCAACACCACAGTCATGCACAATATGTTTGCCACCCATAACAATCCCTGGCTTGTACTTCAATTTCGTACCTGCCCCAAATATACCCAACTAAGTAATCATATATATATATATATATATATATATATATCTGTGTTCAACCCTAAAACCCTAAACTTTAAACAACATGCTTGTGTAAATTAGAAGTGATTGAATACCTGTTTCGTTTATTTCAACAACACAGTCGTCACAGATCTTCTCGAGAAGGCGAAGGAAGGAGACCTCGTGGGCGCGGAGGCCGGGCCACGTGTCGTCGTCGCGAATGTCCTCGATGAGAATGGGAGTGGAGGATAGTGTTGACAGAAGGAGACGCTGCCTCAGGTTCTGGCTTCCCTTTAGCCTCATGTACCCTTTTGTCCTCCCCATTACTCCTTTCCTTCTCCTCTCTTCCCTTTCGTCCTCCCAACTCATCTCTGCCATTGCTCAAGTCTTCCAAGTACGACCGCGTTTGTTTTGTTAGGGTTTCTTTTTGGGTTGAGGTTTGCCCTAATGTTTTGCAAGGCAAGGGCGACGTCTAAAATTTAACCTTTAAAGATTATTAAAAAAAGGTTAATTAAAAAAATTCTCTGAACTAACAACTACGTAAAGCTATTGGAATGTGATTAAAGGCTTGTTGGAAATATTACAAAAATATTTTATTTTATTATGAAATGGAATGGTTATTTTATTAATTTATTAATAAAATAGATTTTCATTTTATTAGAATTGTCATTTTATTCTATTCCTGCACATCAAATAACTGAATGATTGGAATCAGCATTTCATTCTATTCTATTTAATTTTTGTCCACCAAACATAGTATTAGATTACTATTTTAATATACTTTACTATGATTGAGCGGTGAAATGTCAAATTTAATTTTATTATTTAATATTAAATTAAAAATTATATATTTAATTTATAAGTACAAAAGAACTATTGTATTCTTCATCCCCTTTTTTTCTCTCTCTCTCTCTCTCTAAATATTTTACAGTCCCTCTAAATTCAAAAGTTATAATTACAATTATTTTATTTTATAATAATAATAATAATTTTTAATTTAATATTAGATAGTAAGATCAAATTTGACATTTTAAATGAGGATTGGTCACGAGTTTGAGGGTCATGTGGAGAAAACACTCTTAAAATAAAACATAGTCACATATATTTACAGTGCATATTACACTCCTCGCGTGCAAAAACACTCCTAAAGTTTCAATTTTGTGCAAATAAGTCCCTTTGACAAATTTAAACCCTAAATTGACTAAGGCTTCATTTGTAAAATATTTTTTTGAAAAGTTTCTTTCTTTTTTTATTTTTTATTTTCTGGTGTTTGGTTGTCATAAATATTTACGAAAAAAAAATTAAAATTTAACAAAAATTACTTATTAATTAATTTTTAGCAAGTTATTTTACATACCCCGTCCGATGAACTCGATCTCAATCTCGACGTAAATATTTATCAAGCATTAACAAAGTAAAAATAAAGGAATATTTTACCTGAAAAAGGAAAATATTTTTCAAAAAAAATATTTTACGTCGAAACAAACGGAACCTAAATTATTTTTACTGAACCATTTTATAAAATATATAAAATAAATAATTTTGTAAAATAATTGAAAATGACACAATTGGAGGATGTCTCTCTCGTGCAAAAAAACACACATAAAGTTTTAATCGGGTGCAAATAGATTCCTCTAATAAATTTAAACCCTAAGTTGACTAAATTACCCTTATCGAACCATTTTATAAAATATATAAAAATAAATAATTTTATAAAATGAGTGAAAATGACACTATTGGAGGACACCGGCAATGGACAAGTAAAGATAAAAATATAAAATAATTAAAAAAAAAGTGCAAACTGAAGTAAACAAAATTTTTCCAAACTCCAAAAATCAGCGCATACTGATATTGAGATATATTTTTTTTTATTTAGTATGAAATAAAAAAAAAATTTGTAGGAAAGAGTAAACTTGAATCTAAAAAAAATAAATAAAATGTTTGGAGATATAAATAGATAAAAAAAAAAAAAAAAAAAAAGTAATATGCACATAACATCACTATATTATGAAATTATATATACCCCCTTGGACATTTTCAAAAGAGTAAAAAGGTAAAATAGGCATTACAACACTAATTTATGTCAGATAGGATATTTTTGCACAATGTGAAAAGATTAAAGGTGTATTTTGTATACTTTTTTAAATAGAGATAAAAGTGTTACGTAGAGTTTGTGTTTAGGAGTGTAGTCTACATTTACAGAGTAAGATACATATTATATTTTTTATATATTATTTTTACTTAATTTTCATTTTGTCTCCCCTTTCTTTCAAGTATTATAGTTTTTATTCATACAAATCTAATAGGGTTCACTTTAATTTTGTATGGACAGAAGACTTGTGTTTTGATCATCAGTCAAATATTGTAATTTGATCATGGTTTCAAAAACTCCACAACGTTTTTATCATTATGCTTCTTTGGAGTATTATCATCATTATCGAATTGTAGCATTAAATTATGCTTTGGAGCTTGAAGTCACGGAGTTCAATTAGGGGCAAGCTTAAATGGTCTTTGATAAAAAATTAAAAATTTTAAGTGTTGAAGTTTTTTTTAAGTGGTAATTAAAAAAATATGTGTTTTTTTAAAAATTTTTTTACTTAAAATGATGTGTTTTTAACTTGCCATGCAAGCTTTCAAGTGATATTAAAATTGCATTTTATCAATTGAAACACTTAAATCCACTCAGAATTCAGTTCAATTCAGTCATCACATAACACCTTAAAAATTTATACTTCAAGATCAAACAAGTATATAAAAAATACAATTTTAAACCTTATAAAATTAAATTATAATATATTGTTCTTTACACAAAAGTATTATTTTATATTTTTAATATATAAAAAAAATCTAAGAAAAGATAATGAATAAATAAAAAATTCATTACTCAAGCATACAAAAATGTGTCTAATTTTCACAATGACATATATATGGATAAAAAAATGTAAAGTTAAAAATAGTAAAACAAGGAGAAGAAAAAAAAATAGTTATATTCTCTCTCTCTCTTATTTATTTATTTATATATTTATACATATATAAATGTCGATTCCTAATTTCCTAGAAATACAACTTAAAAGATTTTAAATTGAAATTATTTATTAGCTTTGTGTAGTTACTACTAATATCCAGGTAAATGAATCTTTTTCATAAATTTTAACATCAAATATTCACAGGGCACCATAAAGTAGGGTTTTCAAAATTTTAAGGAGCTAATTTAGTATTATTATTATTTTTGATAAATAACCTTTTTAATATCCTTAATTTTAATTATTTTAGAATCCAACAAAATAGGGTTTTTAAAACATTTGGGGCCATATGGCGTTTCGTCTCCACCCTGGTCCTACCCTGCCAACAACGGAATTGAGGCAAGAGTGAGAAGAAAGGGATTAAATGGACTTGGGAATAATAAGAGAAAAAAGAGGAAGCTGGGTAGAGAGAGTAGGTCGGGAGTTCACCGGAAAGGAGGATTCCAGTGAGCAAGTCAGGCGGGGTTAGGGTTTACGGCGAGAGGGTCCATCCCGGTTCTGTCAATGGAAGCATTAACAACTTGTTAGATAAGAGTTAGTGCCGAATTAAGGAATTGAGAAATCTTTCATACCACTCTCCTCCCTCACTCATTTATCTCTCCTCCAACGACGAAAACTCCAAAGGGGTTCGCTGCGACGTCGCCGGCGAAAATTAAGACATTCCCGACGATCTTTTCCTCCAGACAAAGCGATAAAGAAGGTTAGCCCTCAAAACCCTAGAAGTTTTTGGTCTCAAACAGTAGAAATTTTTTTTCTTCAACTCGGAATTTCTTTTTTATTTTCTTTAATTTTTAATAAGTTTGTACTCTTCATGTCTATAGTTGCATTTCTGTACACACATATATATTGCTTGATTCTGATCCGATATGCAGTGACCGAATCACATCTCTGGCTTTTCAATCAGCGAATTAAAACTGCCACTGCAGACAATGACGACGAGGCAGGTGAAGTTAGAGAAAGAGTGTGAGCTTCGAATCGAAGTGGGTCCAGACATGCCTCTTCGCCTCCGGCTCCTCATGGGTACTGCAGAGATCTTTGGCACCGAAATAGCTCCTGAAATCTGGCTGACCTTTCCTCCAAGACACAAATTCGCTGTAAGCTAATACATTCCCACTTTTTCTCTATAAATACATGCACCTATGCTTAGAATTTGGAAATACACCCAATACAAATGTATCATCAACATAAAAACACCACATGTTTTTAGTTTGAGATTGTATTCATGTGGTCGGAGGTTAGATTATAATTGAATACAATTCAGAACTAGAAAGTGCTAATACAGAACTGGAAAGTGCTACGTTATTTCTGTTCATCGAATCATTGTAATTTAGAGGCTGTTTAAATAGCATAATATTAGAGGAACTTGACCTTGAAAAGATTATGCATAGTTTGTGGTTATTAGAGGAAATAAGTTGACATGTAATATACAGTTTTGTGGATCCATAGCTTGTTAAGGACCAGTGTGAATATGTGTACATATTTATTTTATTTTGGTTGGTTTCGTTTAAGATACCTAGGCCGGCTATCTCCATTTTTAATTAGTTTGATAATTGAAAAAGGGGATGACAGAAATTTCCGATGGTTGATTATGGTTGTTGAGTAAATGAGGAACATTATATTAGTGAATAATATACTTCCACCTGGAGGTAAGATTTTTGAACAGCTTAAACCGTTTTTTTTTTTTTTTTTTTAATTCTTTTTTTGATAAGTGCCTAAACATCATTTATAACGTAATCATGTTCCAAAACATGGATGAACTTTCGACCGGCAAGAACGAAGCCCATAGAGTTTAAGCAATAGTCTTCAGGGACTTGCTGTTTCATTTTTTTTTTTTACAGAAGTAGAGAGGATAAAATAATCTAATTTGTTCTTCCCGTGAACCTGGTTCATATCCATGCACATACACATACCAAATAGAAAAAAAGGAAAAGCCAAAACACTTTTTTTCTTTTTATTTTTCTTCTTCTTCTTTTTTTTTTTTTTTTAATTTGTACTTCTCGAAGAGCTTCAGAATTGCAGAAGTCCACGTCAGAAAATTTGCTACATCTTTCGCAATTTGTGACAATGAAATAAAAAAAGAAAAGAAAATAAAGAGGGTTGGTGGGATGGGGGGTTTATTTTGTGGTATCTTTATGTTAAAACGGTTTGTTTACTTGGCCTGCAAATGTGGTTCAATTGGACATTCTTCACTCTTTAATCACTTTATAATCCATTGTGTATCGCATATGGTGGAAGCTCATGAGCTTTAATTTTTGTTGATGTAATCAGATGTTCACAACAGTGAATCATAAGTTAAGAGCTTCCCCATTATATTGGTAGAATATTACACTCATGCACATCCTCATGCTCGTGTGTGTATAAATTTTACATTTCGTTTGTTGGAGATAAGGAAGGGAGAGGGATGGAACAAGTCTATATTATTTGGTACAAGGGAGAGCTGGAGGGAAGGGAGTGATGGATGAACGAGTCTTTCCTTCTGGCCTACCACTTTTATACAACAACCAAGCCTTTTCTCAATTACTTGGGGTCGGCTACATGAATCCTAATTTTTTATTCCTCTATATTTAAGGCCATAGCCTCAGTCAATCCATATTCTATCATATCTTTGTTTACTAACTCTACCCATGTTTACCTTAAAAAATAAAAATAAAAAGGGTTAATTTCACTGACACTCCCTTAGGTTTGGCCAAATATCACCTTCAAACATCTTTAATAAATAACTATCACTCACATTACAGACGTTTGCTCTGTTTTTCACCCACACCCCAACTGTTACTTGCACAGTTATGACACAATGTAAAATGACTTAAATACTCTTTGATTTTGTCAAAACGACACTTTAGCATAAAAATTATATTAAAAGACTAAAATATCCCTAACAATTTTATAAATTTACAAATTACACACACACACACACACACACACACACACACACACACACACACATATATACACGGGCGGGATATATGGATTCCAGGAGAGGTGGTCTCATTCTTTTGATGTTTACGAGATTAAAGCAATTAGGACTTAGAAGTCAATTGTTCGATGCATTTGTTTGGAATTTAGGGATTTCTGGTGAGGTGTGTTTGTTTGATTTGTTTGTATGAATCTTTCAGTTTTTCTATTTTTTTTATTTGTACTTTTTGCAATTTCGACCAATTTGAAGACAAGAATGCAGAGAAATTGTGTCTCTAATACTTCATTCTCTTGATGAAGAGAAATTTAAAGAGACTGTTCGCATGTAAGGTGGAGAGGTGGTTGAATTCTTCAGTCATGTTTTCGAGGCCTTCGTCTGTGGTGACAGAGATTAAGGAATCAAGGTCTTCGTTGGGAAGCTAGTACTTGAGCGTGAACGATTGCCACTTCGAATTAGTGATTGCTTTTGTTTGATCTTGGAATTTTCGGCCAAATCGCGTTGTCTGGTAAGCTTCGTCGGCCCAAATTCGAAGAGACAAAGGGGCGGTGGAAATAGATGTTGCCAACACCATCGCCAGCGAGATTGCTGAACTTGTAAGTGGTGGTCCTTGAGGGCGACCCAATAGGGCATGTGATGTTGACGATTCCGGTGATTATGAGAGGTGAGTTGCTGCGGTGAAGGGGTGGAGATGGTTGTTTTTGTATGGTGGGTGAGCAGTGGTGAAGGTGCCGATTGTGGGTGGTGGTAGGAGGTTAGAGAGAGTTGGGAGGACCGGTGGCGGTGGTAGGAGGTTAGAGAGAGATGGGAGGACTGGCGGTGGCGACGGCGGCCATGGTGACGGTGATGGATGTGGGTGGCAGGTGGGTGTAAGGGTATAATGGTCATTTAAGCAACTTGATATTTTGGAATAAATGGGATTAAAAAATTAGGAGCAAAGTTGTCTTTTCCCATGTATTTAACGGAGCAACAGAAAAATAGAAATGGATCTAAATGATAGTTATTTTCGAAAGATATTTAAAGGTGATATTTGGCCAAACCTGAGGGGGGTGTCAGTGAAATTAACCTAAATAAAAAAAGCTCTACCCACGCTAACTTTGGTCTTCCTGGACTATGTCAATTTATGGTCCACCACATTTCTGTCCCTCCAAAATTAGATGGAAAAGAGGAGGGAGGAGAAGGATAAATATAGTGACGTTATTGCCCTTCACTAGTTTTGCCAAATTATATATAATGTTAAGAAAATGGAATGGAAGGTGTCACCTCCTTTCTATTCCCTTCCACTCAACCAAACAAAAAGAAAGGACACCTTTCCTTCTCTAGGGATGCCTCATCCGTCCTTCCTCACTGCCCCTCCACCCTCTTTTCCATCCTTCAACAAAGGATTAATGTTTGTATGCAATCAGACAGAGGGATAAACAAATTGTGATGAATGTATTTTATGGATGGAAGCTGTGCCTCAAGGTTTCAGAGACAAGGTTTCGGCCCATAGTTGGAATGCATTTAAGCCAGTTCCTTGGACAACATATCATTTATTTGTAGTAGCACAACATATATAGAAATGTTTTCTGACTCCTGCTAAAGAATCATTGCTCGTGATAGCTAGTGGTCTTTACTGTAAGTTGGTTTAATATCTTGTTTCATGTTCATGCATTATCAGGTTTTCACTTGGTATGGAGCGACAATTGAAATGGATGGTATTACTGAAACTGATTATACAGCAGATGAGGTATGATTGGTTGGTCAAAGTCTTTTGCATTGTAATTGGAATGACATAATTTCAATTCTTGATTGCAGACACCCATGATCAGTTACGTAAATGTGCATGCTGTACTCGAAGGACGAAGAAATCGCGCCAAAGCATCGCCTAGTGACTCTGATTCTTCTAAGGTATTACTTCATATGTATCTTTAATATTCCAATACATATTGTATATGTATTTACATGTATCAATTATGTTTCATTCAATTATCGTTACATATGTGGAATCTTCTATAGAAATTCCAAAAAAAAAAAATTTGGACTCAAAATGGGAGACATCCCTCTTTTGCAACTGAAGAAAGTGTTCATATGTTTTTTTTCTTACGCCTTTCTTTGTTTATTATTGATATTCTGGCGCCCTAGGTGTAATGAAACCACAGAAACATATCCCGAATGTGATAACTCTCCAATGGAGACATTCCTGTATGCAATTTCCTGCAGAAAATAGGTTGACTCTAGAGTGATAACAAGCTAGAAACCTCTCATTATTTTTAATCCTTTGACAAACAAAAGATCCCCTTTAACCTCTGCCATTGGCAGATGTTAACGGTAACCGTCTCCCTCCTGTTTGCTTTAACCCAAATTATTGGCATTGCTGCATCAGCCTAAAAACTTCCCTAAACTTTTAAGTAATTTACCCCTCCTATTTAATCAGACAAACTTGCTGCCCCTCTCCTATTCAAGTGGGATTACTGCCCAACAAAACAATGGATAGGAAATAGGAATTTTAGATATTTGGAGAGTTGAGGAAACAAGAAGTTTTTTAATATAATTATCTTTTAGCATTTTATTTTTTATTTTTTGTAATCATCTATCACTTTGTTTTTATATATTTCTATTTTTGCTGTGTTTATCATAATTTTTGTTTGCATTTGCAGTTTTTAATTGCAAACTTATATTACCAGTTCACAAATTTATCTATGAATTCATGTTTTCAATTCTGCTTGTAATACTTTGTGTTGGTTCAGGGTCCCAGGGTAATCGTGGTGGGACCTACAGATTCTGGGAAGAGTACCTTATCAAGAATGCTACTTAGTTGGGCAGCTAAACAAGGTTGGAAACCTACTTTTGTAGATTTAGATATTGGCCAAGGATCTATAACCATTCCTGGGTGTATTGCTGCCACCCCAATTGAAATGCCAATTGATCCTGTCGAGGGAGTACCGGTAGAGATGCCTCTTGTTTACTTCTATGGGCATCCAAGTCCTAGGTAATGTACTTTCATTTTTTTTTTTATTCTGTCAGTTTGATTGTTATGTCTTTACTTATTTTTAACTTCCTTGAATGATTCCACATTGAAAGCTTGCATGGTCAGTTGCTGTTTGGTTCTAACTGAAGTATTTTCTGTCTCCCAACAATCATGGACGTTTTTTTGTAATTGGTACTTCACAGTATCAATGCAGATTTGTATAAGGTGCTCATGAAGGAGCTAGCTCAAATTCTGGAAAGACAATTTGCTGGAAATACAGAGTCTCGAGCTGCAGGCATGGTAATCAATACCATGGGATGGATAGAAGGTGTTGGTTATGAGGTAATTAAGTTTCAAGCATCTATTTTTGTGCATGTCAGTCACAGTAATGTAGGGATGTTTGTCTTAACATTTATATGAGATATTATGCTCAAAAGAATCTTCTGGTTTGTATTTATTGCAGTTGCTTCTCCATGCAATTGATACATTTAATGCCACTGTTGTTCTTGTGTTGGGTCAAGTAAGTCATTTTCATTTGAGAACTTTATGTTGTGTTCATTCACATGGTCTGAGTGCAATCTGCAAGTATTCTTGTTGTTAGACGTGACGACGTCATTGTTGGGTTTCTTTCAGTTTTTTGTATAAGTTGTGTGCAAATATATGATCTTGATACACTGAGATACTTTGCTGACATGAACTTATCAATATATATATACACACACTTTATTCACATGGTCTGAGTGCAATCTGCAAGTATTCTTGTTGTTAGACGTGACGACGTCATTGTTGGGTTTCTTTCAGTTTTTTGTATAAGTTGTGTGCAAATATATGATCTTGATACACTGAGATACTTTGCTGACATGAACTTATCAATGTATATATACACACACTTTGCTGATATGCTGAGTTCAATGAGCAACATAGAGCTTCTTAGGTGACATGTTAAAGTCAAACCATATTATAATAGTACATCAAACCTTTTCGGCCCAGAGCATGCTTTTGTATTTTAAAGCCTTTTTGTGGTATTGATATACTTGCAGTTTTTTATTACATTTTCTATATGAAATCAAAATTTCCCGATTTCATCCTACTGTTGGTGAGTATCTGAAATTCAGGCAATTCTTGCTTTATCGCACTTCATATTATATAAATTTAATCAAATATCTGTTTATGTGACATTTTTTTTTTAAACGCTATTTATTCATTGCCTCGTTCTGCCAATACTTCTCATAACATATATGGAGTACTTTGTTTTGAGAAGCAAAGCTGGCACATGGTAAAAAAGCTCTGTTAAATATTATTTGAATTGTAACCAAACATTACCTTGAGTAGTGTCTTCTCCACCTCCTAAGACTAAGATGAGTTTGAGGGTTTAAGTCCCAATTGGGACAAAGTGGTTTGTGTCGTACCAATGAAAAGAAAGAAAAACAAAATTGTTTGAATTGGAGTTTAACCTAGTTTGTAATTGTAAAATTAACCATTTTGTAGTCTCTGTGCATCTTAAACATGGTATAGATATTATTTTTCTATGGTCAGCTTGAAGCCTTGAAAAAAGGGAACATTTTGCTTGAATCGTTTCCGAAATTAAAAAATCTATATTGAAAATACTTCACTTACAACCCCAGGCTGTTGGTGTTTATATGCTTCTATAAACTCTGCAGGAGAAACTTTGCAGCATGCTGAAAGATGTATTGAAAAACAAGCCCAATGTGGACGTTGTGAAACTTCAAAAGTCAGGTGGTGTTGTATCCAGGAATTCAAAAGCCCGTCAGAGGTCCAGGAGCAGCAGGATAAGGGTACATGGCGATTTTTTCAGTTATTATATAATAGTGTGATGGTCATTGGCCCATTGCTGTTCTTTGTGCTTGTGTCTATGAAATCTTGAATTTTTAATTACATGATGTTGGTTCCTACTACCTTCTAAACATTTGTTTTCTTGTTTACTTAAGATGACAAAGCTAGTTCATGCCTTTTTATCCAGGAATACTTTTATGGCCTTGCAAATGATCTATCCCCGCATTCTAATATCGCAAATTTCAGCGATTTGTCAGTCTATCGTATTGGTGGTGGACCACAGGCTCCACGTTCAGCTCTGCCAATTGGTGCAGAGCCCGCTGCAGATCCTACACGGTTGGTTCTTGTTAGTAGCAACAGAGACTTGCTCCATGGAGTTCTTGCCGTTTCATTTGCCAAAGAACCAGATCAAATTATTTCAAGGTATAGATGGATTCCTCTTCTTTAATTATTAAATGAAGTTTTTTAGTAAATGGCAAGAGGCATCTAGTTGATGGCATTTAATCCAAGCATTATGGACAGTTGTTGGATAGCAATCCTGCTTCTGTTTTCGAGAACAATTTTTAAATTTATGCCTGATTTGATGATTCAAAATATTCTGCAGCGACAAATCATCAACACCCAAATACACACTCCCTCCCTTTCTTCTTTCCTCCCTCTCTATTTCCCGGTTTTTGTCCCAAAATAGTGGATTGATGTAAAATAATAGGGTTGGGTTATACATCATCTCTTACCAAATAATGTGGTTGCTGTTGATAGGTGTGAACCTGAAGAGTTTATTTATAATTATCAGTTTTCTTTTTTAATTTCTACGGTAACCTAGGGTTGATGATAGGTGTGAACCTAAAGAGCTTATTTATCATGAAGTATTAATCTGACTGTAATGCATATTTTGTGCCATGGGCCTCTACTGCGTGTAGAATGTGACGGTGCCATGGGACCTGCTATTTTTGTTCCATCTAGGTGGCGTCCATTTGAAATACCATTACATTTATGAGCCTCTGCACCAAAAATAAAAAAATAAAATCGTGATTAACTAACTAATTGAAATTTACTCTCTGATGCAGTAATGTTGCTGGGTTCATATATGTAACTGACATCGATATTCAGAGGTTTGAACTTAAAACCTGTTGGTTGCTTAATGTGGCAGGCTATGATTCTATGCTGTTTTCATTTGATCATTAGTTTAATAATAAATTGCAGGAAAATAATTACATATCTGGCACCATCAGTGGGGGATCTCCCAGGCAGATTTTTGATTGTGGGAGGTTTAACATGGCTGGAAGGCTGAAGTTAACATGGTTTTAGTTTGGTGTCAACTCCTGTGCTGTATTCATCTTATATTTATAAACGGAACAGTAGACTGTAGTAACAAGGGCAACGAGGAATTAACCGTCCTGCGATATGAATTAGTGTGTGTAGCTGTCAAACTTTTTAACATATCATTTTTTTGGATTGGTATATCAAGATCCATTTTACATGTCTATTTTCTAGTATTAAATTCGTGGCTAAACTTACTGAAATTCCCAACAATGGGATGGATTGTTCTTTATTGTGTAGATATTTATGATACTTGACCAAACAGCTGAAATACTCTACTATTTCGCATGATTCCTATATTTTGATATTTTTTCACTTAATGGTTAACGGAACTTAAGTAAAAAGTTTAGGGTTGAAGTGTGATTGGAAACCGTGAGTGAGATGCATGTAAGAAAGTGAAGTTAAATTTGTAATTTTTGTTTTTAAAGTTCACTCGTAATATGTCAAAATGATTGTCGTTCAGGGAATTTTTTTTCACATTTTACCTTAATATTAATTTCAATCACCCGGTCTAACTATCCTTCCAAGCTTTCAAACAAAATTAAATTCTCTTTTATTTTCTTTTATAAGTTAAAATTCCTCGTAATCTTTGATGTTCAGTTATGAAATTACCCTCACAATGCTAAATCATGATTGAATGTGGTATGAAGGAAAGTGAATTCTGTAAGAAAATCTTTCAAATATTAGTGCATCATGTATCAAGCCAAAAAAGAATAATGTGCTTATATACATAGAATAATGCTTCTTAAATTGATTTGTCAAATCTATTACATCAAATAAATAAAACTCTTCCCGATTTTGCTAAATAAATCAATTTAAAATAGCATTAGTCTCTCATAAATGAATGAATCCTAACTTGGCACATCAATTGATTATGTTCAGTTTTCAAGCGGACTCTGCCAAGCCAAAAAAAAAAAAATTTGTTGATTATGATTAAAGGGTAGTTTTGTCATTTAAACGGCGGGTAATACAAAGAGTGCTTAGTAACGAACATACATTTTCTCTCGTTTTTATAACATCATCGCTTCTCCAGAAAGTCATCGAAAGTCGTCACTAGCATCTTATCGTCACCGTCGTGTTCACGAATTTGCTGCTAGGTTCCATCTTAAACCTCTACATACATATCGATATGTGTATTGTTATATTATATGTTATATATATTTATCAATATATATTCGTAAGTTAAACTCTGATGAATTAGGGTTTCTTTTTTAGCCAAAAACAGAAAATTCTTTAAATGTTTTGATGACTTTTATGTGAATTCGTTGAAGACATTTAGAGCTAATATGACGTGAAGATGAAATTCTTCATTTTGTTATTTGATTCCCGTGTAGTTATATATTGTTTTAACTATGAATAGCGATGAAATCTTGGTTTGTTGCAGATATTGTTTAGAATTTCATTTTAAACGGTGTAATTCTGCTATACTGCCTATATTAGATCTCTATTTCCGAATCATGCTCTAGAAATTTATGACCAGCGTTGAACTTCAGGTGTTCTGTGGGAGTTTTTGATAATTATTTTTCAATTAGTGGCTTTTCTGCATTAGCTTATTGTCGTGGTAAATTGGTTAAAATTATTATTATTTTTTATTTAACCGTTGATTTTCTTTATCTCATACTATGAAGTTAGGGTTTACGAAATATCTAGACAAGTGATCCTGCAAGATGGACGTTGAATTATATATATATATATATATATATATATATATATATATAGAAAATATTTGATTGCATTATATATCTATATTTTTATATATGAAAATTTGCCATTCGTTATTGTACTTGATCTCTATGCTACCAGGATTCGCGTAAGTGTCTTGGCTGCTGATATTTATCTAAGTGCCAGACCTCCTCAAATCCCAAATCTTAAGAAATTACGCCTTTGTGCGTTTGGTGGTGTTTATGGCTCTAAAGAAATAGGAGATCCTTTGATGGAAAGGAAAATCCTATTGGTGCTATGAAGTTCTATATTATTAATTTATTAGCACTATTTTTTGTTGGGTTCTAGGGAGAAATTATAAATTCATGGAGGAGATAGTTGATTTTTTGGACTCCTTGAGAGTTTAGAGGCCCTTTTTGGCCTTCTGTTAGTTGTGAGGGATGGTTCCCCTTTTAAATGCTTTTTTAATTCAATCTTACTTAACAAAAAAAAAAAAATCTCAAATCTTAAGAATGGGCATACATGTCTAAAAGTTGGATACAAGTACTTACTATACATGTAAATTATATGTTGTAGGGGTTCTTTACTATAACAATATAAAATATAAATGGTGAGGCATAACTTGCAACACAGTAGAATCCGAGGTGGACTGAGAGAGGTGGAAGCCCAAACAAGAGAGAAAGAATATGGAAGTGTACTAGTACACCATTGACTCCCTTGGTGAAGGTGTGGAGTGTATGGAGGAAGCATGGGTGGGAGATTATGAGAGCTGTCTATGTCCACGAGGCTTTTCCCTCCTTGTTTGCTCTCCTCTTTTTTTGGCCTTCGATCCCCTCTTTTTATAGGCCAAGTGAGAGAGTGGGTGATGTCATTCATGACAACACGTGGGTCCATTAACATAATAATTAAAAGCAATAAATTTCTCAAATACTCTCTCTGTCCCAAAAAAGATGTCGCTTTTGGGGAACCGTGACTCACAATCACAGTTCTCGAAACACGACATATTTTCTGGGACAGAGATAGTAATAATAAAGTAATGTTAATTAAGATGGGGATAATTTGTGCGGGAGTCAAATGATCTCTCTCTTTTTACAAGTCAGAGGGTTGACTCGACGCCATGTACTTTTGCCACCAAATCAAGTACCTCCTCGGATCTCAAGTAATCCTGAGTCCGGCTTCCAACTCGGATTTTCAAGTTTTCGGTCTTTTGTTATACTGATGACATGAAGTACCACGTAACTTAGACCGTTTTACTTGTGGGCCATTGTAGGTGATGTGGCGTAGCCCATTGACCGTTTGACCAAGATATGTGGGTCATTGTTGATGTAGACTACGATATATTTGACACCTACATATGTTTTATGATATTTTAGTGTTTAATGATGTTCTTCAATAACTAATAAAAAATAAAAATAAAAACAAGTTGATGTTCTTCTATAAAAAATAAAATAAAACACACACACACACACACACACACACACACACACACACTCAATTATTACTCAAAGTAAATCGGATGTGGTAAAAGAGAAGGTTCCATAAATATCATAGATAGGTAACTTATGTGTGTAATTAAGTTAGTTTTTCTTCTCCTCCAATCATGCCATATGAAGGATTGGATTGCCTAATTTGGGTTTGCATGTCAGACACATATTTTGTAGCGATACCCATGTGTTCGACACGGGTACAAGAAGTGAAACAAGTGAGTCCATGTAACATAGCTTGACATTAAAGGCAGTTTTCCGATGCTTGTGTTGATTTTATGTTTTTTGTATGAAATTTTACCTATCTAAGATAATGGATTACAGTGGCTTAACAAGATTCAAGAGGAACATGCAATTTTACGGAAAATTCGTCTTGAATGCCTTTTTCGCATGCCAGACACATATTTTGTAGCGATACCCATGTGTTTGACACGGGTACAAGAAGTGAAACAGGAGAGTCGGTGTAACATAGCTTGATATTGAAGGCAGTTTTCCGATGCTTGTGTTGATTTTATTTTTTTGTATGAAATTTTGCCTATCTGAGATCATGGATTACAGTGGCTTAACAAGATTCAAGAGGAACTTGCAAATTTACGGAAAATTCGTCTTGAATGCTTATTTCAAGAGGAATTTGGGCTGTTCATGTTATCAGATTTACCATAATAAGATATACAACAAATTTAACTCTTCGGTTGTTGTGTTTTTGCTCTCTATATTTATATATATAAATGAAATGTGTGTGTGTGTGTGTGTGTGTGTGTGTGTGTATATATGAATGGAATCTAACATTTGACTTTTGTTCTATTTTTAAATGCCCTTTCTCTTATGTTATGGTGTGCTCTTTTAATTGTCATTTCTTTTCACAGAATTTTGTCCTGCAGCTTGTGTTCTACAGCTATCATCTGTATAGTAGTTGAAATAATTTTCTCATCAAGTAGACAAGTGTAAGAATGTGATTATTTTTTAATCCTTATAATGTACAATAAGGTGGCTTGAGTTTGGATATGTTTTGTTGATCTTGATTTTAAAAATGCATTCAAGTAAAACTATAGGCTTTGATAATGTCTCCATCAGAAATTAGGAAATAAATGAAAGTAGGTAGATTCCACAATCAAAGTAGCACATGAAGAACAATATTGAGCCTATATCTTTTGTTTTCCATAATATCTAAAACTTCGTAAAATTTAAAAACTACTATTAGGCTAGATGGCATATGGCTTAAGCTTCATTTGCTTTGTTTTATCAATCTTGTACTTTTGTTTGGTGGCCTTGCTTTATTCATCATATATCTTCCCCCCATTGAAAAATGTGATTGTTAGGCTTGTAGATCCTTTAAAGGCTTTAATATATATTTTAAGGTTCCTTTTCTTCTACAATTAAGGAAATTGTGGCTTAAGGTTTTTTCCTTTGTTGACCTTTTTCATTCAAGTTCATATGTCCTCAGTCCTCATAAGAAATTCCAACCTGTTTTCTAAGTGTTTAAATTTGGATAATTCACCACCAGCCTATTTACAAATGGGGTTTTAGTTGCTTGTAAACTTGATTGGCGAAGAAAGGCGTCAAATTGAAAACATTTCTCTCAAGTGTCCTCTAAATGATTGACTGCTTAAGAGAATAAAGGCTCGAATAGGAACACTCGTAAAGCTTTTCTAGTACATAATGGAATTCAGTATAATAGAGTTAGCCAATATTCTGTTTTTATTGCATTATAGTGCAAAAGTATTTGAATGTGTTTACTAGTATGCTTGTGTATTAACTGAATAATGATCTTTCTATAGCTGTATGGTTTATTCACTTTTCAAATTTTTTTTTTTCATTAATCTTTACTGCATCTTATATAATTGGGATCATAGATTCTCACTTCACCATCATAAGTTTACCTTGTTTATAGGATTGAACTATTAATCAAAACTTAGTTGTCAGGCCAGTCTACAGTAGGTGTTTAGGAACTGTGATTGTTGTGGCCCGATTTTGGAACGCGACCCGACGACCCCTTTTTTGCTTGTGGGTCGTGGACCCTAATTAAACTCTCTTGTAGCCCAATATGTAAGGGTGCTTTGGGTTTGGAGTGGAATCAGATTGAGACACTGAAAATTGCAGAGTGTGAGGGGCTGAAACTTGTAATCTCCTATTATTGGCATAATGAAAACTTTCGCCGGATCTCCACTGTGGATGTAGGCTTTGCCAAACCACTCTAAATCTTTGTGTTCTTTGTGTGGCGTGTTTATTTTTTGTCTTGATTCTTGGTTTTATCTTGGGTTCACTGTGTTTGTCGTAACAGGAGCCTTTTGGAAAAAATTATGATGTGCTCGAGTCTGTATGTCACAATATAAGTAATATGCCCATGAAAATTTCCTATGGTGTTGACTTTGTACTAGTCAATAGTTAATTTGGTGTTAGATGAGGTTTGAACTTTGAACTTTCCTAGAAACAAAATATTTGGTTGCACACGCACACAAATATATATATATATCTATATATATATATCATCCAGGCATGGTATAGCTTCAGCTAATTTCCCAACTTGGAACTGAGAAGTGTTACAATTTTTGGAATGAGGCTTCCGGGTACGAGGTGGTGGTTTGCACAATTTGAAGCTCTGAAGTCGAGACCAATTATGACCACACCTTTTGAATCCATTTCTCATCTAACATTGTCCCCTTGTCATGTCCATTTCTCATCTAACATTGTCCCCTTGTCGTGTTCATTTCTCATCTAACATTGTTCCTATGTCGTGTTCATCTCTTTCTCTCCCCCCCTCTCTCTCTAATTGTAGTGGTATGTAAACGTGTATGTTTGTGTTTTCATCTACGGGTTTTTCCCTCTTTGTAGGGTTTCATATGTTTTAAATGTTGTGCAATTGTATTCCCAATTAATTGGTCTCAATTCCAGATATCCAATTTAGTTTCTTTGTCTAAATATACAACCTGACGTGTTGGCATCTGTACTTAAAAGTTTTGGGTTGTTGAACCAACTTCTTGATTCTTGCAGTATAATGTAAGGAGGGAAATAACACCAAATTTTACCAGGTTTTTAGTATCCCTTATGAATATAGTAATTTCTTAAGCATGTGAAATGATTTATGACCATTAATTTACCCGATCCTCTTAGTTGATATATCAAAAATTCCATCTTAAAATTTTTTTTTTCTATTATTTTTGTCACATGTCTTGAATTGTTCTTATTGTACGTTGATTTTACTGAATTCATATGCAAAAAGAAAGATATATGTATGTTGATTTAGCTAATTAATTGATATGTCGGAAAAAATCCTTATTTTGATAATGAGTGTTGCATAAATTTAATTATTCTTTGTATACTTGTAATCAATATGCATTATGATCACACATGCGCCTTACTTCAAGTTAGGCTCGAGAAGAGCTTTGGTGCCTTAGTGCGTCTTGAGCCTTTAACAACTATGATATTGCATATGGATGCCAACCTTTTGGATCCAGTTTGCTGCCCAATTAATAAGCTCTAAATGGCTACTTCAAAATTCTACCTTGGTTTCTTAAAATCATATATTTGTAATTTGATGCTTAGATATGAGTTCAGTTTGTTGGTCACTTGTAAATTATTTTTGCATCAGAAGGTATCTAAATCAATATCAAGTTTTATTGGGCTCTGATAGTGGGCAAGTGTCATATCTAGGCCTTTTAAGGTCATTCTGTCAAGACAACTGTTTTCCTTTCCTTCCGATTTCTGTTCAAGACAAAGGTTAAAAGGAGCATAAAATTGAAATTCTTATGATTTCTTTATCCATTTCGTAGTAGTTGCTGATATAGTTTTGTTTTTGCTTTTCTTTTTCTCCAAGGATACTAGATAATATATAGAATGGGAAATCTATTTTGCTGTGTGCAAGTTGACCAATCTACAGTTGCTATGAAGGAAAGATTTGGCAAGTTTGAGGAAGTACTTGAGCCAGGATGCCATTTCTTGCCTTGGTGTATAGGAAGTCAGATTGCTGGCCATCTCTCGCTTCGGTTACAGCAGTTGGATGTGCGATGCGAGACAAAGACTAAGGTTTGTCTGTTTTCTACGAATGATAATTGCATGGTTACTGTGCATGCTTCTTGTTTGTGTGACTTACTTGGTAGTCTTTCCATTTGTCTGCATCCTAAATCTGAAATTGTCTTTATTTCCTATTTTGCTATATATAAACACACACTCGGTAGGGACAAGGTAGAGACTTGTCTTTCTTTATTCCTATTATTCAGTTGGCTTTAGCATTAATGAATTGCACTACTCTGACAAAGATGACTTTTTCTTGTAGTGCATTAACCTCATTAAGGAAATTAATGTGTTATTGATCATCGAGTTTAAAGCATTTCAAATAATTTTCAACTGAGAAAGTTTCGGTTGTCTTATTTCTAGCATGTGCATAGGAGTTGTTAGGTGCAGACTGTGCACCTAATGCTTAAGAGGAGGATAATTTTTAATGAGAGGCACACAAATTTGAGAAGATTGGAAATTTGCGGAACTAAATTGCCAACTCATGTGTGCCAACAGGGCTCCATATGTCCTTTGACCCAATGGAACGGGTCTGCAAGACAACCAAATAATAGCTCACAACTAAGCCATCAGTTTACCCAGCTTATATGGCTAATGTGCTACTTCAGTGCTTAACCTTGAATTTAAGTATGTTTTACGATGCACGTTTGATGGTACAACCCTGCGCCCACCCTTTGCAGAGAGCAATGTGTACAAAGAGAGGTAGCTTCATAGGGGTAAAAAATGAATATAGCCATTTTGGTCCCTAACAATCAAAAGCAATAATAGTGTCTTACCCTTTACGGATTAACCATATCCATTATTCTATTTTTTAAGATAAAGTTAATCGGGTAACACAACATTATGGATCAGATATGACATGCCACTTTGCCATTTGTTTGCAGGACAATGTATTTGTCAATGTCGTTGCATCTGTGCAATATCGTGCCTTGGCCAATAACGCGAGTGATGCTTTCTACAAACTTAGTAATACTAGATCCCAAATCCAAGCCTATGTATTTGATGGTATGATCCAAAAGCCTAAAATGAAAAGTAGAAAACCTTCAATGTTGCATCATCCTCTGATACATAAAATAAACTGTACTTTTTTCTTGTTTCTTTTTCAACTGCTCAGTGATCAGAGCAAGCGTGCCAAAGCTAAATCTTGATGACGTTTTTGAACAAAAGAATGAAATTGCAAAAGCAGTGGAAGAAGAGCTTGAAAAGGTAATCAATTGGTTATCGAAACCGTTATGTATATCAACATTGATGCATCAAATGAATTAATTGCACACCTTTCTTAATGATTCACAGGCCATGTCCGCCTATGGGTATGAGATTGTTCAGACACTTATTGTTGATATAGAACCAGATGAGCGTGTGAAGCGGGCCATGAATGAAATCAATGCTGGTAAGATATCCCCATTCTTTTGGTAGGTGTGAAGTTTGTGGAAACAGTTTAGTACCCACAGTGCAGTTCTTTGATGATTTCCCTTAATATAATCTCGATGGATGGTTTAGTTAGGATAGTTGGACAGTATCTCCTCACTGTTTCAGTGCAGACAGGTAATGCATATTGCAGGGTGTCCCATTGGATATAGTAGATGCATCATGCATATGAAATTTCAATTTCCATGAAGAATTTAAGAATTATTCAACTTCCTCTCACATTTCTCATTAATTCGATGACTGTGACCCCTGTTGGTTTCTGTTATGGAAAAAAAAATGAGTTAAAACTCCTTCAGAAACATAACTAGTAATTAATTTAAAACAAATGACCGCGTGCATCAGACAAATGGCTTGCCTCAACACAATTTGTGCACATGCATGTTTGTGCATTACTATATTCACCTATCCATTTTGGTTTTTTGTGGTCTAAAAAGAACGCCAATGCACATTTGTTGCATGGCATTGCCATCATGTGGTTATTCTTTAAACCCCATTCATGTCTACAATGTCAAGAAATTGAGGCAATGTGCTTATAGAACTAATTAGTTCTTTTTAATGTGCCTAACGAATCAAACTCTGGACAGCTGCACGGTTGAGATTAGCAGCTAATGAGAAAGCAGAAGCTGAAAAAATTGTGCAGATAAAACGAGCAGAGGGTGATGCTGAGTCCAGGTATCTGGCAGGATTAGGTGTCGCTAGGCAGCGACAGGCTATTGTAGATGGTCTAAGAGACAGCGTGCTTGGCTTCTCAGTGAATGTACCAGGTACTACTGCTAAGGATGTTTTGGACATGGTACTTGTGACCCAATACTTTGACACCATGAAAGAAATTGGTGCTTCTTCCAAGTCCTCGGCAGTATTCATCCCACATGGACCTGGTGCTGTGCGTGACGTTGCTCAACAGATTCGAGATGGGCTGCTTCAGGCATCTGCCCACCAGCAACCAGAGCTCCTGTAGTGTTGGCCGTGTTCAAAAAGAAGTGTGCATGGGTATTTTGTTTATCTGAATGGACTGTTCTTTACTTTTATATGGTTGTGACGCAGCAGTATGCCCCTTGGAAATATTCATCTCCAGTATTTTGCTTGTAAATGAATTTTTAGTTTTAAATTGTTAAAAGGGTGTTTTGCCATTCCTCATATTTTGGTTCCCGTATTTTTCGTGTCACAGGAACTTTTTCACTTAAAGAGAAATGGATATGGCTGGGAAGAAATTCAAACAAAATACAGAATTCTCATCATGGGTGTATGCTAGACGTTTTAAAATCTAGTCATATAAGATCAGGCAAATTGTTTTACCTTTGGGAGCACCAACGACTTGGATTTGAAAGAAATTTTATTCTAACTTTAAACTTAATTTTCCCCAATATCAATTCCAATTTGGTGCTCCCAAACATGGCGTCAGGCAATTCAACTTCCCGAGCTAGTTATCAAATTGGCTCAACTGACAGCATAACTCATTTATTGTATCGACTAGGGTAAAACACTTAACACGCATGAACAACAAATTGGAATGTAAAAGGGTGTTTAGACATTCTCATATTTTGGTTCCCATATTTTTCATGTCCCAGGAACTTTTTCACTCAAAGAGAAATGGATATGGTTGGGAAGAAATTGAAACAAATTGAAACAAAATGGAAAGTTCTCATCATGGATAAATGCAGGTGGATGGGTAAAGGGAATAAAGGTCTCATTTGACAGTATCACTAGACGCTTTAATCTCGTCGTCATATAAAATCAGGTAAATTGTTTTGCCTTTGGGAGCACCAGCGAGTTGAAATTGAAAGAAATTTCATTCCAACTTTAAACTTAATTTTTCCCAATTTTAATTCCAATTTGATGCTCCCAAAGATGGCATCAGGCAATTCAACTTCCCCAGCTAGTTAACAAATTGTCTCAACTGACAGCAAAACTCATTTATTGTATTCACTAGGGTAAAACCACATGAACAACAAATTGAAATGTAAAAGGGTGTTTTGCCATTCCTCATATCTTAGTTCCCATATTTTTCATGTCCGATGAACTTTTTCACTCAGAGAAATGGATATGGCTAGAAAGAAATTAAATCTCATCATGGGTACATGCGGGTGGACAAGTAAATGGAATAAAGGTCGATATTGGTTGACAGTATCACTAGACGCTTTAATCTCTAGTCATATAAAATCAGGCATATTGTTTTGCCTTCGGGAGGACCACCAACTTAGAATTGAAAGAAGTTTTATTCCAACTTTAAACTTAATTTTCCCCAATTTCAATTCCAATTTGGTGCTTCCAAACATGACACCAAGCAAATTCAACTTCCCGAGCTAATTATCAAAAAGTCTCAACTGGCAGCAGAACTCATTTATTGTTTGCATGAACAAAAAATTGAAATGTAGCAGCACTTACCAAATCTTTATATACACGCACACGAACTCTGAACACAGGTTCATTGCCCAATTCTGAAAATACTGAACTTTAAAATAGAGATGCCTCTTTAAGTTATTAAAATAGTAGTGAACCGCTAAAAGGAACGAACAAGTAAACAATACCCGTATTTACCATATGCTACACCCAACTAAAGGTAAAGTTAAAAGTGTCATGACCACATCAATTAATTGGGGTACCACGCTGCATAAATATCCCAAGGGTATATAGTAACAAAGCAAAGGTGATTGATTGGATTAATTAGGCTTCTCCAAAGTTTCCGTTAAAGCTCAAAGAAACCACTATTTACTAGTTTTACTAGGTTAACTCGGTAACAGATTTCATTTATGATACCATTGACATCCCAAATTCATTGGATGACCATTGCTTATCAATCAAGCACTTCTCATTGACTGAACAAATGAAATAAAATAAAAATTAGTGAGGATAGACAGGGACATCAAATTAATCAGATTCAGCACATCAATTCACTGTCTCCTCATTCCAAGCTAACCACTACCAAACTTGCTAGACTACCACAGTTCCAGAAATACGAAATACTGAAAGTGAATCACAAAGAAAGTCTGAACAAAATCTCGAGTCAAACCTCTTCAAGTATCAAGGTTTACTCACTCATTATCGGTTTAACAGAGTTATCAGCATGTGCAAACAAAAACCATCTAACATTGTTTTAGCAGTACAAAATACCACCAAAATAGAAGAGAATCAATGCCATAAGAACAAAAGAACGCCTAAACAGGCAACTGTAACATGCTCCTTGTGCCTACCTCTTATTGCTCCCGGTCATAACTGAATATAGCCTGCTTATGGCTTGAGAGCCAAGGCCAGCCCAAACTTGGCACCCTTGTCAATTGCCTTGGTGTCCACTTCTCCAGAAACTGTGAAAGTTGATTTTGGGCGCCACTCATGCTGGATGAGAGCACTTGCCTTGCCAAAATTGTTAAAACGTGCCTTCACTGTGGTCAATGGATCCAATGAATGCTGGCTTCCAAGAGTGAGGGTATTCTCGTTGGTTGTGAAGCTGTGGGTTATTTCTCCACCGACAGAAGTGTTTGTCAAGGGCTTCACTATATGGTAGTAAGACGCATTCAATGTGTCACCCTTGTCATTCCTGAATGAACAATACATACTAAATCACATTGCGCACCAAAAAAGCGGCCTATTTATAAAACCAAAATGGGCCATAGCACAATCAAATCATTTTGGTGTTGCATTTAAATTTAGTGTTTGTATTTTTGATCAACAAATGTTCAATATAAAGCAGGATGGAGACATGCTCAACATGCCACAAAATATATTTAATCTAATATGCTTATGAAATATATGTATGTATATATAAATATATATTTAATCTAAGCTACACATTATCATCCAGGAAAAATATTTTTGTCGTCCACTATGCAAAAGCCAATAACATATTCATCTACTGAAGGAAGATAAGTTGTCAGATTTTACCACAAACAGACAAGTAGCAAATACAAAAAGCAAGCATAGACTACTTACAAAGTCAATGAAGCAATAAGGTCAGCTTTGGAGAAGCTTAATCCAGCATTGCATTTAGTGAAATTCCCTGTTTTGGTATCAAAGGAGACATCAGTCCCAAGTGCGACAACATTAGTCCCAACAACACCTGAGAAGTTGACAATGGGGTTTGCTGTCAATCCAATGCTTGTGCTTATCCCAGCATAGTCATGCAAGTACTGAAGTTCCACCTGTCACATGAGAAATAAGTTAGAAATAATATGCGACATTAACTTTGGCATATGAAATTAGATTAGAATTTTCAGTCCTCCAACTCATTACACAAAACAAGATTTGAAAGTAATCCCAATAATATTAATATGAATATGCATTCCAAAAGACTAAACAATCAATTGCTTACCTTGCCAGATCTTTGATCAGGTATTCTGAAGCTAAAGATTGTCTTCAGCCCAGGAGCAGGTTCATCAACCGTAATGGTTGTAAAAAGCTGGTATTTGTGCAAAAAGTCAGTTGAATGATAAAAAAAAATACATAAAATAACAATTCAACTTGCATTATGAAAAAATGTTCCAAAATTGGTTAGTTATAACTCATTAAATATCATAGCATTGTGGGGAGAATTACTTAAAAACAATGTGAGACATCAACTCGTTGAATGTGAGAAGCATATTCAATATTTCAATCTCATCCAAAAATGTATAAAAATTCATGAACTTATTATAGACAAAGAAGCATTACAGCACGAACCAATAGCCACCTACTTGGCTGCATGTGCAGGGACAACAGAGCATGTACAAAGCTGGGATAAAAGAGTGACAAATGCAGGCATCTTGTAATTCTACAAAAGTGCATGCATGGACAATATAAAAAATTCAGAGTTTTCCTGTCGCAACTCCCCATTAGGTTTGCCAAACAAGTTTACGGTTGCAATCGTCAACCATTACAATGTAAACTTGCTTCACATGTCCAACTTACAGAAATAAAACCATATTCATACTGATAAGGGCACTCAATTATTATTATATAAGTTAATAATGCATCCAATGCCATCATTCTCCAGGTCAACATGCCACACATCAAAATATGTAATCATACTCCAGGCGGCAAGTCATCACATGAGAAACACAAGTCTAAACTAAAACCTGACTTCAAATACTTTACAGACCATCTAAGCACAAGAACAGGCCACAACATTCACATTACATTAAAGTGAAGTAAACATAATATTGCGAAGGGTCTGCGTCAAATATCATGAAACACAGAATGACTGGTATAACAAATATACACACAAAAGTTATCAATACCTTAAAGTACAAAATTATAGATGACCTGTGGGGCACATACCTAAAGCACAAGCCATCAATATTTGAGGCATAAAAGAAAATCCTCAATCAGATTTTGATTTCACAGTTCAAGAATGAACCCCATGTAATATATGGGATGTACAGGTTTTTTTTTTTTTGTTAAAAAAAAAAAAAACAAACAAACAAAAAATTGTAACTCAAGTTAGTGTATATGATGGATCTTACATTGGAGTTTGTGTCCACTTTGATATCAGTTGTAATATTCTTGTTTTTCAACTGAGTATTGACATCAGCAAGAAATAGATCACCTTTCTTTGTTCCTGATGAAGTGATAGCCTAAAAAGAAGAAAGGGAAAAATCAACAACTATATAGCATACAAAATATTATCACATCAGAATGCACTATTAAAAAACAACATTTAAGGTACATAATGCACATCACCAAGGTCAGAAACAGAAAGATATCTACTGTTGTACAATAAATCATAATTAAAGCCTAGATCCATGACACAACTGGGATCAATACGCACAAAAACACATCTGAAATAGAAGGAATAAACAACGGAATGAAAGAGACAATAAACCCCACATACTTCTAAACGCAATTGACATGATTCAAATGTTCTAGAAGGAGATGTTCTATTTGTTCCAAAGACTAGAAAAAGTAATATAAAAGAGAAATACCAATTGTACATATTGCATGAGTCATGCAACACATTTCCTGTGGCCTCGAGCTTTCTTTGCATGCTTGCGTGTAACAAATTATGCTCATTTTTAGCAATAAACAAATAGAAAACTAACAATAAATGAATGGATTATCCAAAATCTGAGGTAAACTAAAGCAACACCACAAAGGAAAAATAAGACACACTGGTACTTGAATTGCTCGTGCAATTCAAATTATACATCATAGCATACTAAGAAGAGACCAATCAATGTTTAAAATGGATAAATAAACACATGATGCTATCTCCTCTAAAATAAAAATGAATGACATGAATTTCCCAAAAAAAATAAAATAAAATAAAATGCATCATAAAGCAAAATTGACAGTAAAAAAAAAAAATAAAAAAATACAGGAAGCTAGTATTACTATCAAAAAACAAATAGTGCTAAAAGCAATTCTGAGAATCAAAGAGAAGATTAATTTTTATACTAATTAAGCCATTTATAAAACTATATGAAACATAACTATGAAACTAAAAAATGCTAATCATGAATCAATGACATAATACTTCAATTAGTAGTGGCTCTGCTAACTTTACTAGCTGATCAGAAACAACACTTAATCAGTTAAACGAGAATTTTCTTAAAAAGAAAAAAGGGCTATTCCAATTTTCCAATTAGATAACGCACTTGTCTTCATTTACAAAATAAGCAAAGTATGAAATGTTTTATGCAAAGAACCTGAACTCTAGCACTAGACATATGCATGCTTTATACAATCTATATGTATAAACACACACAAACATACATCTACATATAATCCAAATAATAGTTTACACCGTCATATATATATATATGTGTGTGTGCGCGCGCGCGCGCCTGTGTGTGGAAACGGCATCTTCAAATTTAGTTGAATTAAAAAGGTTACAGATGCATGAATAAACACAAACACCCACACACACACACACACACACACGCACAAAACAGCATGATGAGCATCTCAACCATTACATCCATGACACTAACTTCTCGGACAAAACACATTGACTTGAGATATAATCCTTGCATGACCAAACATTCACTACTAACACCACAAAAACTTATAGCTACACCAAGCAAACATACAGATCTAAAGGAAAATGAAAAAAAGAAAAGAAAAAGAACTCACAACTCCAGTATGAGAGTAGGTCGTGATTGAGAACTTGTGGTCGCTCTGGTAGTCCTTGTAGAGAAGATCTGTTAACAATAGAAAATAAATGAACAATACACAAGAAACCAAAATAGTTATACTACTAATTAAATTGCATAAACCACACAAATTTGCATGTATACGCGTGGGTGTATCTACGCATGTGTATTAAGTATATGCTTCTACATGTATACATATATACATAGATACATATAGAGAGAGAACCTCGGGTTTTTTTTCCGATATCAGTGTAAAGACCAGGACCCTTGCCCATGATTTCGTGCGAAGGATGGAGATGAGAGACCAGAGAGAGAGAGAGCGCTGCGTTGCTTCAACAAACAATGCCGAGAGATTTGAGGACAGCCCTAATTTTGCAACCCTTTTCGAACGGTGTGCTAGGTGCTCTTCGGAGAATCTAGGCCGTTCGATCAGAAAGATGGGTTTCGTCTATATTTGGGCCGTCGATATTCCAAGGGGAGGCGTGGAATATTTTTCATTTTTGGGGGCTTTATTTATTTTGACTGGAGCATTATTTATTGAAAAATAGTGGACACGTGCTCGTTATTGCTGACTTGACTAAATGGAGGATTTAGGAGTTTACTATTACATTTTCATTTGTTGAAAAAAACATAATAATTTGTCTTTCATTTATTTTCTCATTTTCTTTCTTATTTATTTATTTATTCTCGTGCTCGTTATTGCTGACTTGACTAAATGGAGGATTTAGGAGTTTACTATTACATTTTCATTTGTTGAAAAAAAAAAATAATTTGTCTTTCATTTATTTTCTCATTTTCTTTCTTTTTTATTTATTTTTTCTCTTTAAAGCATCACTGATCCCTGAAAAAAAAAGTTTTTAGTCTAAGTTTTAAATCTAATTTGGTAAGTCATCTTTAGATTGATTTTTTTTTTTTTTTTTTGAAAGTTAAATTTGTCAGATTAAATTTACCAATCATCAATCTTTAATGTCAATTCAACGATATGACGGTGGTATGAGCAAATCTATTAAAAGTATTTATATGTCAATATTCAAAAGTCATTTAACCCAACAAAAAAGGAAAAAAAATTATAAATATCACTTAAATGATTAAAAATCTAATTTTGACGATATAACTCTCACTCATATATCCATTTAAATCTATATATATATATATTAAGAATTTTACACCCAACTCTCACTTACAATCATCTCTTAGTATAGAATTACTTTAAATTACTTTCTTGTGATTGAAATTGTAATTAATTAAAAATAAAAAATAAATAATCAAATTGGTGATGCATGTCAAAGTAGTGGAACGGGACATTTAAGAGAAAGATGGACATGAACCTTATCATTTTATTTTATTTATTATAGATGTTTTCAGGATGTTTCTTCTTGCATTTGGATGAAAATTTTGAAAATAAGTTGGTTTAATTATTTTTTAACAATTAAGAATGTGTTGAGTTTCCAAATGAATAAAGTGAATGTATGAGTTTCTTAAAAATAAAATAAAATTATTTTCTAACAAACTTAATATTATAAAAACAATATCGTTATTTTTCATGAGAAAAAAAAGTGGATAGTTTCATTATTAGTTTTCAAAAACAAAATTTTGTTTAGAAAATACTTTTAAAAAGACGACCTTATGTTTATTCTATACAGCTATTTATTCCCGTTTACTTGTGCTAACTCTTTTAGTCAAAAAGAAAAATGTTACTCTTATAAATGACTCGAGCGCCGAGCGGCATGTTTAATTGTTTAGTGTTAGGGCAAATTACAGTAAGTACCGAGGTTTTTATTTCTTACACTAATATGGAAGTAATGTGACATATCAGGAAGCCCTAAGTGCTTAAAGTAGGCTAGTTGACCTAGGTAAATATGAACTAGTCTACTTAGGGCATTTTATTTTCCAATAAGAGGAATATACATTTCATTCCCCATTTAAAAAAATATGGAGTAAAAATAATATTAAAAATCGTTTTACTTGAACGATGTGATTGTTAACACACTTTTCTCAAACAATAAAAGTCAACTTTTTTTTAGATATTCCCTCCTTAATTTCCAAATACACATCCAAAATATATATTTACGCATATATTATTTCATTCCTCCGTACCAAATTATTCCTTAGGGTTTTGATTTGATACAAATATTTGTAGACACGTATATGTAAATATATTTACAAATTTGAAAATTCATATACATTAGATGCACGAGATGAAAACCTGAGGTGTGCGTTGTGTAATTTACCCTTTATGTTATACAAGTTGCCTTATGTAATTTACCCTTTTTGTTATAAGGATGTCAAATCATAATCTAGTCCTAACTTCTTACTTGTGTCATATTACTATCCCTGAGTTATAAGTAGGCTTGTTTGCTAAGCGTTTTATATTTGACATTTTATTTTAACTTAAAACAAAAAAAGGGTATGCTTAGTTTGTTACTATAAAAACAGTTTTTTATTATCAGAAATTTGAAAATGGAAACTATATAAAAAATTCTGCTTGATTCAGTTTTCTCAAAACTCGGGCATGCTTGATTTATAACTCTAAAAACAGTTTTAAAAAATTTAAAGAACATAAAAGTTGTTTTCAGAGAACTATAAAATTTGAAAATAAATCTTTTTATAATTGAGTTTTCATAAAATAGTTTTCAGAAAACAAAACCAAGCTGAGTTTTTTATATTTCAGTTTCCTGTTTTCAGAAAACTGTTTTCAAAGTTATAAAAAATGTTTGTTTTCAGAGAACTATTAAAGATTGTTCTCTGTAAACAGTTTTATGTTTTCTGAATTCTTGAAAACTGTTTTTAGAGTTATAAAAAAAGCAGTACGAGTTTGAAAAATATAATGGTTAGCTTTAAAATTGTTGAAGATGGATTCTGCGCAACTCAGATCTGATCTGACTTCCTGAATAAAGAGAAGAAAAAGTGATCCTACAAACACCGGTGGAGTAGGCTCCGACGAACAAGTCAGTGTGAATGATAATCTCTCTGGAGAAATCGAGATATTGAGTTAGGGTTTTTTGCGTACCTCCAAATGTCGATTAGCCCTCCCTATTTATAGGACTTGGGTCAGGATGTTACGTAGCGTCCACGTCGTACTTAATCCTTATCATAATCTGTTGGCCTAATCCTTATCGTATTCTGTAATTCTTATCGTAATCTGTAACCCTTATCTTAGTCTGTAGAGCCTATCTCAATCTTATGAGATAGCGCGTTACTTTAACGATATTCCCCTACCCACGGTAATTAAATTATAATCATCAAAAATGTTATTTAAGAAATTTTTTTTAAAAATATTATACTATTCATTGCTATAGCACCAAGCTACAGTGCAAAAACATATAAAACCACCAATGTGTTTCGATTTTTGGTCACTATTTATGAAATGTTTTCACATTGTGCAAAACAAAACAGTTTTACCAAACATGTTTTTTCAACTATTAATAGTTACAGTACAAAAAATAAAATAAAATAAAATAAAAACCCCAAAAACAAAACTCATATTAATCAGACCCTAAGTTTTTATTTTGTCGTTGTAAAATTATCAAATAAAATTTTGGTAGGTTAAATAGTGTTTGACTGTTTGGGAATTCAATCAACGTATAAAAATATTTTTTTATAAATATACTTCTTCCTTGAATTTCCTAATTCCATAATTTTTTTTTTTGGGTTGTATTGCACGAACTCAATGGAAACGACAGCAAATGACCTTTTTTTGGGGACACAACATTGGTACCTCATCCAGGCTTGTTAAAAATGTTCCATCCTATATACACTCTAATTTCTACATGTTCTTCTGTCTAATTTCAAAGAACGACAACAAACTAACCATACATTCCACATGTTTCCTATATTATTCATACATATGCTTAGTAGTGTTATTAAAGAATACAACAGTCTCTTGTTTCTGCCAGAGAATTAGTCTTGTAACATGCCAAAGAATTTCTGAATATAAATAAAATCAACCTTTTCAACAATATGTCTTCTGTGCTCTGGATTACAGTGCTAGCAGGAAGTAGTAGACCAACGTGATTGGCAACGCAATGAGCATGCCAAAGATCACCCTACAACACAGAATAAACCAGTATCTCAAAATCTAGTTTAGCTTTTAGCAAAGTTCAACTATGAAGTTGTATAGAAGAAGTAGAGTTATAAATTAATTACCCAGTGCTCAAGATGTCCGGATATACATTATACTCTCTGGCAAACACGAATGGCACGATTCCTTGAGGAAGAGCTGCCTGCATCACATAGAACAGTGTTTTAGTCTTTATCCCGATTGTAGAATACAGAAGACAACTATAATATTTTTGGACCTGCACAATTGCCACTCTAAACAATGCTCCCCTTAAACCAATAACTATGGAGGGCACTGTCATTAGGGCAGGTCCGGCTACAAACTTCAACGCCATGGCTAACACTGCCATTCGGATCCCACATGCTATAATGCTAGACCTTGATGCCATGAAGAGACCTATCACGTAAAGCAAATGAAGCAGTCAAGGGATTTTTATTTTTAACTTTTTTTTTTTTTCAATTTAATGTATGTTAATAAATATGGAATCTTAATCATACCTAAGCTGAACATTGCCATTCCAAGTCCTCCTTCCGATAACAATAATATTGATTTTTCAACAATCTTTGGCATTTGTACTCCCCACCTGCAACAAGTTGAATCCCATTGTGAAGTTGAGAACTCTATGACTCTTTTTGATGCTCCTGCAGGCTTACCTGTAGTGTATGCTTGCCCAAATAAGGCCTAACATAGTTGCATGAGTATTCGGGTTGCTTATGAGCTTCCTTCCCACTGTCAGAAGAATGAGAATGATTTTTCTTTTGGTAGCAGTTCTATTTGTCGTTGTGTCCTCCCCTCCCTCTTTTCGTTGTGCTTCTTGTTGGGTCTCCGGATCCCCTTTTAAAAAAAAAAGGCGCAATTTATATGCTATTCAATAATGGACAGATTCGAGTGTAGAGGGGTTGTGGCTTAAATGCCAATTGGATACATTGACACCACCATTCATGCCAATGCTTATAGATAAAAGATTACTCAACTGTTGACATAAGGTGTTATAACTTGTACAAATTACTATTACAACAATATTTCTACATGTTTTTTTTAGGAAACCCCCTGATATTTATTGATGTTCTTTACACTTGCATAAAGGAAATGAGATTGGAATAAACCTGAAATATGTCAGGGCCCATATGAGTATTCTTTTCAGACTAAAGCTTACCAAACAGTAGCTTTTTTTTGGACAATTTAACCCAACATAACTAAAACTGAGTTAACATAATTAAGATTGAGTTAACAATTTGTGTTTTAGGAGTTCAAAGCATCAACTATAAAGCATGACAGAGGCCTTCATTCTATAAAGTCATGTAGTTAATGACCATGTACAACTGAGGTATAGAGAATAGCATCCTTAAAGCTTTAGAATAGCATCCTTAAAAGGTGAAATCTGGACACATACCTGTGGATTCTAATGGTGTTGTGACAAAGGTTTCTCTTGTAGCGCTGAGCTCAAACAGAAACAACAATAGATTATACCAAATCACGCTCTGTAACACGACAATCTGGGCAAGGAGCTCGGCCGCTTTATCCCCATACATGGCTCTTAGTAGTGGAAGTCCGAGTATCAAAGTGTTGGGCAGTGTTGAGAGTGAAAGACCTGTTATGATCCACTTGAGGCTTCCTCTGGAGCTAAATTTGGAGATTATTGCCATCGCGAGAAAGGCGAGAAGCTTCTGAAGGAAATCTGCACATACAAGACTCAGGTTCATTTTGTAGGGGTTGTTTGTGGAGATGACTTGGAAGGACAATAGTGGGATTGAGAATTTTGCCACAAACTTGTTGATTCCGGCACATTGATCTGGTGTAAAGAGCTTCCACCATTTTACGGAGAGGTAGGCTAAGATCATGGCAACATACAAAGGGACAGTGGCTGCCACCACACGGTAGATATCATGTAGGGCAATCATAACGGCTACTGGTTCAAGGATATATGGCAAATAACTAACTCTTCCCTCTATATTTCTTGTATGAAACCTTGGTCATATATATAAAGGCTCTTCTAAGGTTGCTTTGTTGATTATGAAAGGCAAGGCAAGATTTCTTTTTTAACAACTCAAGGGACTAAGGAGGGCCATGGCCTCCCCAATTATTATTATTTTTTTTTTATAAAAAAAGTTTTATTTTATAAGCCTATTAATTGATACTTAGGTATAAATTTTTAATTACTTGGGTTAGAAAAATTATATTATTGCCACCCAAAAATAAAAAAATTTGAGTCTGAATCATGTTACATTTCTAAAAATAAAATAAAATAAAAATTAAATCCCTCTGCATAGGCAACAATTCTACAAGGCACAAATTTTGGATTTTCTTATAAATAGGAGTTTCATTGAAAGGAAAAAGTATTACTTTTTTTTTTTCCTTACAACTATTTTGTAAAATTGATTGAAATGTAGTTAATTGATGGCTTTCACTATATACGTGTAATTGTATATGACTGCGCATGTGTGTGGAGATCTTTTTTCCTTTTTCTGACTGTTTAATTATCAGTAATATAGTTTATCACACTAAACAATTTCAAGGGGTTCTTTTGTTTATGGAAAAGTCAGGGTATTTTAGTCATCATCAGTCAAAAAGTTGATACCAGTTTTCTTCATGTGGTCATGGTCCTTTTGGTTTATTGGTTCTTTTAGGCCTAGAGCAATAGGCTGATGTGTCAACCTAAACCCAGCCCAGTAAAGCCTTGATTTTATGAGTTCAATTTAAAGAAGAAAAGAGATACATGCTCTTCTATTTTTCTTTTTAACTTTAGTCACACTAAATATTTTGGAATAAGTGGTGTGTGGTAATGTAGTTTTATTTTTTTTAATCATTTTTATTATTTTTTAATCTTTGTTTTACACAGTCTTGGTATTTTTCTTTACAATTTATTATTTATAAAGAGTGGGAAAGAGGAATAAAGAAGTGAATTGCAGGAGAAGTAATTGAAGTAATGAGTAAATAACAGTGGTGAAGGAAGAATTTTTGCTAAATATGGTCAAAAGTGTGAGAATAAGTGTAGGTGGGAATTTACTTTTTTAGGGTGTGAATTTTGCCAAGAAAAGGCCTATCCCCTGTTCCTTCAAGTTGTCTTTGTGTGACGTAGTAAAATTTGTATCCCATGACATGTTTCGTATGACAATCATGATACTCTTTTTGATGGCCATCATTGTCTTATATAGGCATGGTGGAAAACCTTCAAAGTTTCTAAACAATGGTCAATCTTTCTGATACAGAATTGCCAAGCTGCTGGCCTGTGTTGGTAAGTTTACTAACATGGAGTTGAGTAATGTTTAGATGTTGAAGGAGCCTAATCTGGTGACTTGAAGGATAGGTTGATTAACATCCCATGAATTCAAAGTTACACGCGGTGTCGTGTGTCTGCTACAAGTATACAACTGTTGGCTGATTTCGAGTATAACCAGTTTTTCAGTTATGATTTCCGCAACAACAACCAAGCCTTTTCCCCAACTTCTTGGGGTCGGCTAGTTTTTAAGTTATATTTTTAACGGTAAAAGTAAATGTTCTAAACTCCGGTCATCTCTATTATTGAGTATCCCAAAAACCATTAGAAGGCATACTTCTATGAAAACCACCAAATGTTTAGTTGTAGCTAGCATAATGGACCTTGTATCAGGTTACTTACTTAAGTAGCTACTTCGATAGGATATGCATTCTGAATTTAAGATAAGCTCACTGTCACTCTCTTTGGTTCGTGATTGATGGAGCTAAAAATGCTCATAACCTCTTGTTAATTGGTTAATTCATCTTAACTCGAAGATTTGCCTAGATAAATGAAGCATCCTATATACGGTAAAAGAACAGGGCATGCTAAAGTATCTTAAGACTCCTTTTCTGGTACTGTGCTGTTATTAGAAGTAAAGAATGTTTTCATATGCTTTCTATGTGCTTGAAAATAGTTTAATTTCATTCTTATATGTATATGTTTTCGTAATTTTTCTTTCTTTCTGGTCAACAACCATGGCTATGTTTTTAAAAGACTTCTCAGACTGAGTTCACTACCCTGGTTTTGTGCAGTTGAATTCCATTCTTCTCTTCCCAAACTGTCTTTCTTTTCCCTTTTTATCTTTCTAAGAGTTAACAATTCAAAGAAGTGAGGTTAAGGTTAGCACATTCCTTTGCCTCCTGTTTAAATGCTAATTTATCCACTTCTATTCTTTTGCTTTTAAGTTAGTCTCGGAGACTAATCACTTATGGAAATGGTGAGAACAACTCCTAGAATGTGGGATTTATTACTTCCAGTATCATTGTTGGCAGTATATAATACATTTCGTTTACTATATTAAATAATCTCCTCACCAGGGCACTACTATAATATTCAAAAGTTATCCGAACTCGCAATGCTCTCGTTGCGATCGGATTACTCTGCTTATTTGGGGCACATCCGAACTCTTTCGGACCAGGCACTTGGTGTGACACCGGATTAAAGACTAACTCTACCTTTGATACTAACTTTAACAAACAAGGTGCTTCGCGATCATACCTAAAAGTTTAAGTTATTAGTGATACTTACACTCAATTCATATATAACCATTCACTTTCTCTTGTAACAACTACAGCCTCCAGTGCTGTGCTCTCTTGTTTCTGGCTCTCTTCTTCCTTTTCTTTTCTTGGGTGCTCTTCCTACCTACTTTACTCTTATTGACGACCTATAACTTTTGATTTTCTGTTTTCTTACTCAAACATACTATAAAAGTAGCCATCCATTCTTATTAATTTTCCTACTACTATACATTACTACAGAGTATACTGTTATTAGGGGTGGTAAAGTTTGATATGACCTACTAACATGACTCGAACACGACACGAGTTAAGCGAGTTTGAGTTGACCTTAAACAGGTCGATACAATTAACCCGTTTAGTTAATCGTGTCATGTTTGGATTAAGAGTTTCAATCCATGTAACCCGTGTAACTATACATGTTATAAACAAATTTATATTTAAGTTCTAAAATAACTATTTAAATTTGTGTTTTACAATTCACTCTTTTGTAGACTAGAGACTATTTAGTAATTTGGTTGGATTGAAACTTATATTTTTCAAGTAATATAATATTTAAGTAATATTAATAATTTAAGTAATATAATATTTTATTTGAGTAAATAGGTCATTAAACAGGTTACAACCTATTTAATAAACGGGTCGGGATAGTGTTGAGGGTTCCTGACATGAATATTAAACGGGTTGTGTTATTTAGTAGATACTCCTAGGACGACACGACTATGACCCACGATATTGTCCATGATGTGTGTGAGAGAGAGAGAGAGGAGAGGAGAGGAGAGGAGGGAGTTGGGCACTCTACAAAAAATTGAAAAAAAAAAAAAAAAAAATTAAATCCCTCTTTTTCTTTTGCTTTAATCGAATGAAGTAAAAAAAAGTGTTCTTCCCTCCCTTCCGTGCTACCAGATGAACCGTAAAAGACAAATCCCCATTTGAGAGTAAAAAAAATGTTGCCAAGTCAGTTTTTGTAGCGAAGTGCAGCACCCTCAAACTCGAACCAACAGAGAATTGACAGCCTGAAACGGTTCATCTCCACCAAACTCACACAAGTGCCCACCACATACTCGATAACCCATAACCTCATCTTCTTCCACAACCAAAGAAGCCCAGAGACAAATTCTGCCATCAATGAAGCACCAATCATACCTAAATGCGATGGGGTTTATATGACCTTGGAATTAAATGTGCAATAGGGCCAAATGGATTCTTTTGACCTTGGAATTAAAGGTGTAATAGGGACAAATGAATTCGTTTTTGAATCCCAACCTAACATTAAGTCGGTAAAGATGGCATTCAAGTCGAAAGGGAATCCTAAAGGACATATGAGCCTAAAGGACTAGAGATGGACAAACATTCCAACCTCCATCTACAGTGAGCCTAAGACCAGAATCAGTCGACCACCACAAACTCCTACGTCCACTGTTCAACCTAGTTGCATCAAGGAGGGGAGACCATTGATCTCCAAAAACCTACTCGCCCTGGAGAATTGTTGTTAAATGGTTATTGTAAAAGAGGTGAGTTGTTCGGAGGAGTACGAGAGAACTGCAACAAGGATTGTGGATATGAGGCTGAACATCTGTAATCCACCTATATTTAAAATATAATAATTGGATAATCCTGTGCAATCAGCTGTTGCCACATCACACACACAAAAGAGGGAGGGAGAGAGAGAGAGAGAGAGAGAGAGAGAGCTTTGACTATGAGAACATCCCAAATCCGAATTAAAACCCTGAGAGAAAACATTGCACTAAGTACCCACAACTCCGTCCAGCTACCAAAATTGGGGCAGTATCCACAATTTAGCATAAATAATTTTTATTACCAATAATAGTATACGGATACAACTAGTACACGCAGACCATAAAAACATCCTATAAATTGTCAGGTAGCATTTTGATTGGGAAAGGCTAAAAAATAACTTCTACAACTATGCACTATCAGAATCATTTTCTGAATCTATGTGCATCGGTTGCGGGTTCTTGTAGCCACTTAGTTCATCCTTGTAGCGTTTCTTATCTTGTTCAGCCCTTTCTTCATATGGCTTTTTCTCTTCAGCTGCACAAATCATTTTTAGCACAATCAGAAAACAGTCCATGCATTTTCACTTGTATTGATAGCACAACAGCATGTGTAACTGGGCATACCTGACAATTTTTTCCATTTCTCTCCGAGAACTCTCCCCACATCTGTGAACTGAATTCCAGGGTTACTTTTCTTTATATTCTGCAGCCAACATAACAAGGTGAGACATCCCATTCGCAAGCAGAAAATACCAGCCATCCCATTTACCATGATCCTCCATCTTGAAAAAGATGGAGAAATAAATAAAATAATTATCAATCCCATATTCATGAACAGACGCATATCAGATAGTCATTCAAATGCAAGTAATGGTGAACTAAAGTTGCTCAAGGAAAGCATCTGCCAGCAATAACTTCATCACCCACAGTTTAGAACAAATCCATGTATTTCACATGTATTTCCGGCTATGCAGCTACCCCAAAACAAATCCACTTCCAAAATTATAAAATGATTCATCAGGAAGCTATAGTTTATGATATTTCATGTCTTTGTTTAGACATCCAGAAAATGTAGCCCAACTTCATCAAAAATTAAAATTGAGTTTCACCAACTTGATAGGCCTAATGGTACTTGATGGGCTAATCCTCAACCTCAAGAGCCAGAATGGAGATACTTAGGGAAATGATTTAAATATTAGCAAGCCAGATTCACAAGGATAATTCATGAATGCCAATTAGATTAGAAGATGGATTGTTTTGTCACCGACACATCTGCAATGTGATCCTAGAAGTATCTCTATGACAAACTACGACAGTCAAACCTATCATAATCACTAGTCAACTCTGGATGGTCATCAAACTACCTAGAACATGAACTCATCTAAAACTCTTAGCCTCACATTGACAGCTAGGCATAAAAACTTTGAAGGCACAACGTAGGATGAATTAGAAAGGCAATTTAGACCTTTTGTAATTACATAAGCAAACGTCAGGAAGATTCAATGCAGTAACATGTTATCCTGCCTTCAACCCCCCAAAAATTCAAGTGGCCATGGAAAATACTCCGGTTAATTAGTACGCCATCTCATTTGTAAATCATGTTACTTCTATTGTAGCACCAAATGGCAATACCACCCAAAAATAATAATACAAAATAAATAAATAATGGCAGTAACAGTGTCACTTCCACTTGACACACTTTTTTTGCCAGCGATACTGCTATGCTGCCATAACAAATCCTCAATGAACAGTAACTATCCCACTCACTTCAACAAGGAAGATAAAATTATCTTCAGATCCTGTGTTTCTTGTGGTTCTTTTCTCCTGACATTACATCCCAACCTCTTGTACAATCTATTATACTCGCATCATTATACTTAAATTTCATAAAATGACGCGCTTACAAACTATTAGCCTCACTGTGTATAAACAAGTATCCTATAATGAAAAAGGAAACAAACATGAACCAATTATAATTATCCAAAAATACTAACCTCCCTTTCAGACTGAGAGAAAAACATGAAACCAGACATTGCCCTCTTTGGAGCATTGGGATCCTTCTTCTTCTTCTGCTTCCTCTTCTTTGAACCATCTTCATCACCATCTTTGGGTTTCTTCCTACTTGAAGATGCCTTGGCAGTAGGAAGGTCTTTCTTGACTTCCTTTTTGGACGGTTTCTGAATTGACCAAACATTCAATGTGAAAATAAAATTCATGTGTGGATGTTCAACAAAAGGCAGAACAAGAGAACACGATGAATGGTTTACCTCTTTCTCATCTCCACTTTCACTAGCATCAGACTCTTCTTCCCCGGAATCATCAGTAGGGGAACCTTCGTCATCCTTCTCAGCCACAAAATCTTCATCCTACAAAGAGTCACCATGTCAAATAATGCATGAATTCGCCAGTACAGAGACATGGACATAGCAGGACACAAATACAGAAAGAATCATTGGACAAAAAAGGAAAAAAAGAAAGATAAATATAGGTAACCAGATCCCAATTTGAAAATTCCAACTGATTTAATATTCTTCACAATTAAAGATAGATAATATACTATGAACTAAACCAAACCAAGAACTAAAAATTAATTAACATAGAACTCTTAACTTCCATAATCTTAAAATTTATCTTAAAATTTTGCAATTTTTTAGATTATGCAATTATGAATAGAATAATTGAAAGCAAGTAAATTGACCACCGTCAGATCAAGATTCAAAAGCGAAAATCTAATTGTTCTCAGGGAAATAATCAAGCCTACCTCCTCATCACTCTCGTCTGCACCTGCTTCATTCTTAATCCGTTCAAGATGTGGGTCGACTGCATCATCATCATCATTCTCCAAAACTTTTAATGTACCATCTGTGGTTTGGACACCTCCTAAATTCATGATTTTCAAACCCTTCCCACTGCATCAATGATAAAGTCAAGTTAGAATTTAAATAGCCTTTGGACTCATGACTTGCAAAATATGAGCAGCTCATATTGACCTGATAAAGTCAAAAAGATTGTGGTATTCGTTCCTCTGGATATTGCGGAAGAGATGTTCTTGTTCAGTCTTCAGTCTGATGAGAAGATCAAAGTAATGCATATTTGAGCCTCCAGCAGCATGCCTCTCAAACTCAACATAGTCGATCTACACCCCAAACGATCATTCATCATAAGATATATATTGCATAAGACTGAATTCACAGCATGCAAGCATATCCTGTGTCAGGATAAAAGAAAAAATTAAATAATAAATAAATAAAAAAGATTACCTCTTCATGAAGGATAAGGGTAGGGGGTTTGGGCAAGAAGAAAAAGCCCTTTTCAAGTGGATACAAGACTCCATCTTCAGCTTTTAGTGATGACTTCACTGCATAACCGTCTTGACAGCTGCGGAACTTTCCTGGTCTAGTGACTTTGGCGCCAGACAAGCCACGCAAAATCAACGTGAACACTTCATGAATGAGTCCCTGATATTATAAAGGAAAAGAAATCATAATACACGTGTAAATATAATGCCCAACTCACGTAATATAGTTCTCAAAGATCATATAAACCTTAATATCTAAAAAATAATACGGCTACATTTACATTTAGAATGAAAATAATTGGTTTCTGAAAAACGGCAGCTCAAAGTACAAGCATCATTTCAATTATTACCTTATATGATGGTTGTAACTTGTCTTTATACTTGGTATTCAGAAGATCTTCATTCATTGACAGAGTGCTTTCCAACACATAGTCTGTTTCAAACTGTGTACAGATGGCACATCCAATCAGCAAATGGACATAAAATAGTAAGAAAGCTAAAATGACGTTCATCAATGCAAGAAAACTAGGAATACCTGTAACACAATATGTGGGTACAAAGTTTGTCCTTTACGAATTGGTGGATCAAGAGTGACAACGACAAAGGTATGTGGCTGGTTAGACTGCACAAGCAAAGAACAATCCAAATGAGTTCTGCGCATGATTGCATCTTACAGAACATAACAGGTCAACCAACTGCAATAGTACTTATGTAATTATGTAACAGATCAACTATTAACAAATGAATTAATATCATCGCCTTGAGAGAGCTAAAATGAGAACCTTGGGCAGTAAAAAAAGGCGAACAGCACTGCTGTACTGAATCTTAAAATCATTAGCCTGCCCTTGGAGCCGCATAAATGAAAGATGAAGTTCGACATTATATCGGCCCCTACACAACGAGAATTCTTCAATGAGGATCTCTTTATAACCAGCATACAGGACATATAATTGATGAGGGAACTAAAAGCGATGCAAACCAACAACCACCTACCTTGGTGTAAGTATGGCAATCCCCTCAAATGTAACAACAGCCTCTTCACCTCCTGCACCAACATCCGCCATTGATACGATTTTGTCCCGGAAGACCTGACAAGAAGTAACCATGGCATAAGTAAACTGTAAACAATTGTCAAATATTTATCCATGCAATTCTAAATCAAACACAGTAACGAACTCACCTGAGCAGAAGGAGTATTTTCATCACCAACAAATTGAGTGTTGGAATTAGGTATGTGAAAACTTATCTCCATTAATGAATCTTTCTGCAATAGTAAAAACATAGAAACAGAATATCAATGAAATTGCTCTCGAAAGAACATCTGAAGCAACTTATAATAAACTCCAAGCTTATAGAGCTATCTCGAAGCCCATGTATAGAGGGATTTGCTCCATGAAGCTTATGAACTCAAATTTTTGAATATATCACATATACTAGAACAATACAAGTCATTCAGATAAAAAAGAACCTCGTTAGCCCCAGTTGTGTCATCCACGTGAAACTCCAAGATGACATCATTTTTCCCTTGAAGTTGTGTTTGGGAGACATCTGCTAAGGATACCTCAAATGCTTGCTTTGAACCAACCAGAAAAGTCAGCATGTTCCCTAAAGAGGGGGAAAAAAAGGATAAAGATGGGGATAATTCATAGCAAACAATATAAAAATCTGCTGCACACATTGTACATGATGGACCAAATAATACAATTCATGTAGTCAATTAGACTCAACAAAACAAGCTCATATATAAATGATAAATTAATTGAAAAAAAAAAAAAAAAAAACTGCATAAAATGATTAATCAACCCAATTCCCACTCAAAAGACCAATAAAAAAAGGTTAGAAATAATATATTAGACAAAAAAAGAAGCAAATACTACAACTATGTGTCCACGAATCATAGAACACTTGCTAAAAGCCTAAAACAACATAAGAAAGCATGTCATATCATCAGTATCGTAGAAGAGGCATGGTATGGTCTACTGGTTAACACATCCATCATCTTTGCTATGATCCATGATAATTATGACATAATTACTAATTCTTTTCCTGAAGCTTTAAATAATAGTTAGCAAGTTCCACCAATGAACGAGCACCACATTTGAAAACTAGATGGGAAATAATACTAAAATACATTTTTGAAAATTACTTCAGTGAATCACTACCATAGGATTAAAAAAATGGAAGACAACCAAAAACACAGATGTCAAAGAAATCCACTGACCATTTAAATCAACTTCGCCCCAGTTTTTTCCACTAACAGATAGCTGCTTCTCTTCAGGTGTTAACCCACAGGAGCTCTGGAAAAAACTTGTCAAACTTGCAACATCCTACAAGGCAATGTGGGTGCACAAAATCAGCAAGTCAAAATGTAAGACCATTAAAGGGAATGAGGGAAGTTCTATAAGTTTTCAAATATTTCAAAGAGATATCACGAACAAACTGCAGATGAAAAACTACATTGCCTACAAACACAGATCTTCATACTTATATCTAACATTTCAACTAAAAACAACAAATTAAGCCAAAATTCGCTTTTTTAGACCAAAAAAGGTATATTAATTGAGTAATAAGAGGCTTTTGCATTATAGATGTTGTATTTACATTCTCCATTTTACAAAAACTAACATGATTTTCAGGAAACAGAACCAGCAAATAAATAAATAAACATGCAGATAAGGTAACACTAAAAAGAAAAAAAAAACACGTCTCATTAAAAACGATTAACATTAGGAACAATGGAAAATATTTAACCTCTATTCTGGCCAAAAGGAAAAAGAATGAATGGTTTTTCCAAGAAAGATGGAACGCATGAACACATATTACACGAAAAGACGAGATGTGATGAGTCTAATGACCAAGTGATAACAAGAACAATTTCTTTGTTACCCAAAAAAGGAACTTTTTCTTTTTTATCCAAAAAAAGGTAACATTTGCTTTTTTATCCAAAAAAAGGTAACATTTTCCTGGGGTTGAAGCATTCCGTTAAAAGGAAATACTTTGCTCAAGTTCAATTATTATATTCAAAAATTCCCAAAATTAGATAGAAACATAGTCAAAACTTGTCGTATATTCAACTGGTACTGCATGTGCCTTCGTGATGAGAAGACGGTGGATCACCTCCTTTTGCATTGCACCATAGCCAAAGATGTTGGGATTTGATGCTTGGTTTGTTTGGAGTTTTGTGGGTCACGCCCAAATCCTCCAGAGGGTTGGTTGAGGCTTGGGGAGGTTGTATAGCAGGGGCCCAAGTCCAGGATGTTTGGAGGGTTACGCCTTTGTGTGCCTTGTGGTGTATTTGGCTCGAGAGGAACAAGAGATCTTTCGAAAGAAAGGAGAATCCTATTTCTATGCTTAAGTTCTCTATTATTTCCACTCTTTTTTGTTGGATTGTAGGGAGATATTATAGATCTTAAGAGGAGATGGTCGATTTTTTGGGCTCTTTGAATGTTTAGAGGCCCTATTTGGCCTTGTGTAGTTCTTTTGGGATGCGCTCCCCTTGTGAGTGCTTTTATACAATTTTACTTATAACATAAAGCTTATTGCTTTAAAAGCAAACTTAATTGAATTGCTCTATTTTATATGCTCCAAAATTCAAGTAAGACTAATTACTATCTTGATGCTTAAATTACTCTAAAATTTTAACACCAGTAGAGGTAACTAAATATGGACAAAACAAACAGAATTACTGTTCAAATGTCTTCTTGGAATGTAAATCAATTATGGAAATAGGTAATTTCAGAAAGAAAATTCACTGTTTTCATTAATAATTTTTTTTTGGTAGCATCATAAAAAGCCTAATCTGGATTAGTACATGATGGAGCTCAAGTAGGAAGTATCGATCAGTTCTTTAGAAGATTAGACCATATTAACCTTTCACGGGAAGCATACTTCCTTTGTTCTTGTGGTTGAATACAGGAGAAACTAATAAGCTAACCAATTACACGAACAAAACTATTTCGCAGATACATGAACCAATTAAAATCTAAATAGACACAAGAGTTTCTTGCATAGGCATGTAAATTCTAGTAAAAGGAGTGCTAGGGGCAGTCACTAACGCGACTGTCCCTCCACAGTCACTGTTGCGATTGGCTGAAAAAACAATTACAACAGCTATATTTAAATCCATTAATTACGTCTCCTATTTTTACGAGGCATTAACTTTTTAGGACAAAACTACCCTTCTAATATCTATCTCTTTCTTTGGTCTTTCTTCCATATGCGTGCATATACATATAAACATATATATACACATATATAAACAACTAACCTTGTGTGAATGGATTCTTTCCTTTCCTTTCCTTTTGTTTTTTCAATGGTCTTTAAAATTTTATATATATACACTCCATATGGATTCATGCCAACCTTGCTATGGATGGGTTCTTTATACTTACTTACACACACACAAACACACACACACACACACACACACACACACATATACACCCTTTAAATGTGGGTTTCCATGATTCTAAGTTTTAATTTAAGTAAAATTATGGAATTGAATTTTAGTTATTTTGTGAGAGAGAGATGAGGATGGTTTCGTAAAGAATGAGAGAGAGGTATGGTGGTGATGGATAATCACATTTGAGAGATAAGTATGGTTTGGCAAGTGATAGACAATCATAGATGGTAGCAAAGGAAGGATGATAGCAAGTGATACATATATGTATATATAAACAGTGAAATACAATTGAAAAAAAGAAGAAAAGAAAAGCAAAGATTCCATTCGGAAGGTTAGTTGTTTATATGTGTGTGTGTGTGTGTGTGTGTGTGTGTATACATGTTTATGGATCAAAAGAGGAGAGAGAAGAAAGGCCAATGAAAGAGATAAGATATTAAAAGGGTAATTATGTCCTAAAAAGTTATGTTTTTAATGTTCCATACAAACGGGAGACACGTAATTAATTGGCTTAACTATAACTGTCGACTGTGTAGGGCAATCGTGCTAGTGTCTGCCCCTAGCTAAGGCTGTTTTGATGAACTTGAGCTCGGCTTGCTAAAACATTGGTTTGTACTCGTTTGTTTAATGAATGAACCAAGGTCAAATAGAATTTCCAGGCTCGAGTAATAAATGAACCGAGCTCAAACAACACCCTTCTCAAATCATTTGTTCATGAACACGTTAGGTTACACACACACACACACACACACATTAATATATACCCAAAAGTGAGACGCCATTTAGTATATACAAGGCCCAAATTTAATAAAGTTTAGCTGGGCCCAACTACGGCCCAAACAAAATAAACTCATGAGCCCATATGTGTGTGTATAAAACCCTAACCTAATCTCTCATCTTCTATTTTTTTTTTTTTTTTCCATTCCTCTTTAAGATTGCCGCTTCCAGGTCCCCTCACACACTTCTAATAGCATCACCCCTCTCACACACTCCTATGGCCCTACCAGCATCCATGCACGGACCCATTAGTGGCTTAGTGGGGGCAATTCTGCTATATATTTTTTAACTAGTATACCCTATTATTTTTCACATTTTGCTATATACACATATAAAATCCCACTATTGCCCACCACTGAAATTATTTTAAAAAATCCCAATTACAACCCTACCCCTAGCACTCCTCTTCTAAAGGAATAATTTCAGTTCCTTAAATTCCACATTAAAAATATCCACTGCTAAATTTCTGTTTAATTTAGACAACCTGAAAAACATTGTTATCATCATTGCAAAGAACTGACCTACAATATCGAATTGACAAAGAAAACAAAATACGCCTGAGAGGGAGATAATTACCTGGTCACGGAAACCAGAGAATTTGTAGTACAGACCATCCTTAATTCTAACCCCAAGTTGGTTAGTCCGTGGAACCTTCATCCAGGTAAGGCCCACAATATCAGCCTTATCAACTTCCACAGCTTTCCCACCCCCTTGTTTTTTCCACAATATACCTCCCGAGTGAACCCTAAGTTGTCCTGCATTCTGCATTTCCAAACATAAACAAAAGACTCTCACAATTTTCACAATATTCATGAGCATCCAGCAAAATTATTCATATTTATAAATCCATGTGCATCAAAAAAACCTAAACAATATTCCCAATTCTTCAATAAATGAGTATATGATTAAGGAAATTAAAATCTGAATCCATCCTGCAAATAAATGAAGTGAGAAAAAAATTTAAGAGTGGTTAAAATTCCTCGAAAATGGGGAACTGGTATGCAGTTGTAATACTCATACACCTTGGATTCCACGATTCTGATTATCACAAGAAGCTTGGGTTTGAAACAAAGACCAAAACAAAAAGACAGAAACCCTTGCATTTTTGGTTAAAGAGAGAGTAAGCCTTAATCAGTAGGAAACTTACAACAAGAAATTCTCATCAAACAATCGAACATATAGAACTGAGGTCATATCAAAAGCAAAACCCTAGAAAAGAATGAATCACCCAAAAATTTGAATAGATAACATAAATTAGGTTTTCGCATCACATTCACATAGCAATTGCAAAAATATTAGGGTTAGGGTTTCTGGAAAAAAAAGGAAAGAAGCTTGGGTTTGAAACAAAGGCCAGAAAAAAAAAAGACAGAAACCCTCGCATTTTTGGTTAAAGAGAGAGTAAATCTTAATCAGTAGGAAACTTACAACAAGAGTAAAATTCTCACCAAACAATCGAACATACAGAACTGAGGTCAGATCAGAAGGAAAACTTAGAAAAGCATGAAATCAACCAAAAATTTGAAAAGATAGCAAAAATTAGGGTTTCGCATAAAACATGGGGCTTCGGCATCACATTCACATATCAATCGTAAAAAATTAGGGTTAGGGTTTCTGAAAAAAAAAAAAAAGAAGAAGGGAAAGAAACAGAAACCCAAAAAAACATAGAGAAAAATTGATTTTAAAAGTTGAACTTGAGGTTGAGCGTTCAATCTAGAGAGATAAAATGCAGAGAGAACTCACAGAGCCTCCGCGGCCTCCAAGAGAGATATTGTTGAATAAGTGACCATCAGCCATCTTTGCTAGCTTCGAATGAGATCACTGGCACTGCGAAATATCCTTCTATGCGGAGAGGGGGATATTTATAGAATAGAATTGGTATGGAGTGCGTATTGCGCATCTTCGAGGTATGGCGCGAAGAGGTGATTATCATGTGTGATTAGCCCACCATAAAAACTGTGGCGATGGCAAGAAGTTTGGTGGGCTTGAGAGGCTGCTTAGTAGTTATGGGCCGTAGGGAATATATGTCAAACCCAACTGATAACCATCATCTATGGCTAAAGAATGTTCAACGGTCGGAGATTGAAGTGGGTAGAATTCAAAATTACCATCTAGGAGAGCCCATTTTATAACCGAATTCAGTCCAAACTCCTCTGTCATACACACTTGCATAGTTGCATGAGCTTTGCTCCTTATAGTCATGAAGCCCAGTACAGAAGCAGCTTAGTTACACAGCAACAGAAGTATTATAATTCGGTCAGACCATCTTGTTGATGTTCCTCAAATGGAATTATCCATGATCTGATTATTTTGGGAATAACATAATCTGGGCCATACTCATTGTATCCTTTCTATGGGTTGGATCTGGTCCTACTACCTTGATTTATAATAGATCCATATTGAAAATTCCTTAGGTTGTGTTCCGTTGTATAGAATTGGGCCTTTAGAATTAAAATTTGTAGAATTGGAGAAAAACAACTTACAAAATTGAATCAAAATTTTATTCAATTCCATGAATTTTAATTCCAAGGCTTCAATTCCATACCGTCGAACACAACCTGAGACTATGTTTGGCTGCATGGAGTTAGAGTTTTAGAATTAAAATAGGTGGAATTAAAGAAGAGAGTTCAGAATCACATAAAACTGAACCTTTTTTTTTTTTTTTTTTTTTTTTCAATTCCAACAATTCCAATTCCAAGTTTTCAATTCATGCAACTGAACATTGCCCGAAAGAAAATTGGATTCCCTTAAAATTATGAGTTTATGTGACAACAAACTTTGGTTTGGCGATGATTTGAACAAACCAATTGAAAATTCAAATTGGTTAGAGGTAGCTTCTTTTGATCATAATTATTTGAAGCGCTACAAATAACTCAAATGGAATTAAGTTCAAGACTTTTTGAACTCAACTTGCTCCTTTATGGACTAGGTAATAACAGAATTAATGTTTCCCCGACTTGTGGGAACAAAGGAGTTAAGTCAGTAGAAATTTACTATCAATATGTTGGGCTTAGAATGAATAGATGATACTGAATCCAAAATCTTTGCCACTCAAAGTACCGGGTGATTTAGATTAGAATCGGAGAAATTAAGGGGATGTATAAAACTAGAGTTTTGGAATTGGAATTAAAATTGGTAGAATTAAAGAAAAACAACTCAAAAAATTGAACTAAATTTTTTTTCCAATTTTACAAATTCTAATTCCAAAGCTCCAATTCCATACAACCGAACACAATCTAATTGTTTTTCAAGTCCAAATCTAAATTACCGATTCGATACTCCCAAACACAATATTATATAATTTCACGTGTTATAATACAAATTTCCCGAATTCAATTACCACAACCCAAGCTCCATTTATACATGTTTAATGGGAAATCATGTGCCTCATGACATCAATTTATATCAGAACTTTGACCTGCATGCAAAATCATACCATTTTTAGGTTACATACATTTATTTATTTTATTTTTTCAGAAATTACATATATATATATACATATTATTTTACAAGTTGAGGCTTATTATTATTATCTCCTCCTATCCAATTAGTGGAGTTTTAGCTGCCTAGATAACTTCAATGATATTGTATGTTGTACGTTTCCCCTTGTCTTCACAAGTTGACATCACTCTATCTACTATAAATGCATTAATGTATGTTTGCATTTTTATCACACGTATCTCCATGCATCCATGCATATATATATAATTATCAACATATCAGTGACCTAGCAGTATCAGTCTCTTACTTTTTAAAGGGAAGTCAAGGATTTAAATTTCAGAAGAGACGTGAGAACCAATTAGAAAAAAATAATAAAAAAATGCCACAAACGTATAACTTAATGAAGTCAAGTAGCAGATGGTTTTTGTTTAGACAGAATGGAAGAATATTACTTTATTTGATTAGTTGGTTCCATAGAAGACATCGCCATTTAGTGCTAGCTGCGTAGAGGCAACAAACTCCATAAATTACTCCCAACAACAAACAAAAATGTACTGAGAATCCAAGGAAATGCTGAGTCGAAGATGCATATGATTATGCTACATAAACCTATAATTTAATATGTATGTATATATACACTTTCAACAGAGGGGGAGACATATAAAGGATATTCATTCAGATGCTATTCATTCCACATACAACAAAAATCCAGAACATTTAGATCTACATACGACAAATTTTGTTTATTTTATATGGAAACTGGTCTGAATTGATGCAGTAAATTCCAAACTTCTCAATTTTGATCTTTTGCATATTTGTTTTAAGTTAGGTGTCATTTGAAAAAGTAGTACTAGTACAGAGAATAATGATCTCTGATGCATGTATTACCAAATAGACCACAATCCCTATTTTTTATTGGGAATTGACTCTGATACTATCTGTAATGACCTGCTGCCCTGTTTAGATACTAAAAAAAAAAAAAAAGAAGAGGAATATCCATACATATAAGTGTTACCAAGTCTCTCCCCAAATAATGTGGGACAATAACACATGTATTTCCATCCCTAGGAACCAAAAATCATGGTTCATGGTTTTGGAATGTGGAATATAAACCAGTTTGATGTCATAAGTTCATAACCTGTGAAAATTCAGGGGACAGTTACTTGCCACTTCAAAAAGAAACATGAGTGTTCTTAATTCAGTCACATAAACCATGTACTAATTCCATTTCAAACAAACATCCAATTACAAACACATAAAATTGGTCTTAAGTTGCCTGCCTCGTAATAATCGTCTACTTTGTATTGTTTATAATACAGTTGTAACAACAAAAAACAAAACATAATAAACCAAAAAGAAGCACGGATTATATATATGGTAAATCTTTGGAGGTGAAGCAACCAGAGAAAGGAAGCATCAAGGAAAAGATACAGAGCAACCCAAGTGAGAAGCCAATATCATAAGAAGAAAACAAGATCAGATGGCTATGATGATGGTGAAAAGTGAAGAAAATGTTGGAAGGCGTCGCATATGTGTGGTGGATGGAGAGGCCCTAGAAGCTAGGTGTGTCAAGAGAAGGAGAAGAGATGCTGCTGCTGCTGCAGCTGCACTTGGCTGCGATAATAAAGAAACGCAGCCACTGCCAAATCATCAAGTTGAGCAAACTTCTGCCCCCACCACCGTGAAGAGAAGTTCAAGGTTTCGTGGTGTCAGCAGACATAGATGGACCGGCCGATTTGAAGCACACTTGTGGGATAAACTTTCTTGGAATGCAACACAGAAGAAGAAAGGAAAGCAAGGTAGATCATATTTCATTGTTGTGTAGTTTTTGAATTCTTTCATTGTTTTGCTTGTGCCTAGCTAATGTGAATTTTTCTGTTTTCTTCCTTTGGGTTGTGCTTTTGGAATGGAATGTTGGGACTGAACAGTTTACCTTGGTGAGTCCTTTGCTATTAACACTCAGGTTTTAGTTATCTGCAGTGTCATATATATATAATTTTTTTCATTATTTTTGTGGATTACAAAAAATAACATGTTTTTCTCTCCAACTTTCTCAGGTGCTTATGATGAAGAAGAATCTGCAGCAAGAGCATATGATTTAGCTGCACTTAAGTATTGGGGGATATCAACTTTTACCAATTTCCCGGTACTATAATCATTCTTGATAAAAAAAAAAATAATAATAATAATAAATAAAAAATGTTAGTATTATATATTTAACCTATATATAAGATCTAATTTTCGATCAAACACTATTGATATTTTATGCAGGTGCCTGATTATGAGAAGGAGATTGAAATAATGCAAACTGTAACAAAAGAAGAGTACTTGGCATCTTTAAGAAGGTATGACTTTAAATATATTGTCCGATGCAATAAAGATTGTCCATGGCTCTTCCCTTGACTAAACTTTGTTTTTCTTTCGTTATAGAAAAAGCAGCGGCTTTTCAAGAGGTGTATCCAAGTACAGGGGAGTTGCAAGGTATGCTTTTTATACAAATTTACGTAACGAACAATTTCTTAATCACAGACGAGGAAGCAGATTGTTCTAAATACTGTTTTGGGTACAAAATGCAGACACCATCACAATGGCAGATGGGAAGCTAGGATAGGGAGAGTTTTTGGAAACAAGTATCTTTACCTCGGAACATACAGTAAGTTAAACATCTCTGATTTACTACAACGGATATGATGCAAACTTTGAACTTATAATTATCTAAGTTGAGAGCATCTTGTGTCCTTTTAGGCACCCAAGAAGAGGCTGCTCGTGCTTATGACATTGCAGCAATCGAATACAGGGGCATTAACGCGGTGACCAACTTTGATTTGAGTACTTACATCAGATGGTTAAAGCCGGGAACAAGCACTCCAGTGGTTGCTCAAGAACCAGAGACAGAGCTGCCTCAGGCAATGCCAACCTCTAGCTTCATTTCCGAGGAGTCCCTGTCCATGTTCAACACGAGTGATTTCACCATAGATAGTTTGAACATTCCTCAAAAGCAAGAAGAACTGTTCCAAAGGAAATTCCCAGTTAGCTCGGGCAACAAATCCTCTTCTCCCACGGCACTTGGCCTCCTCCTTCGATCTTCCATATTTAGAGAATTGGTGGAGAAGAATTCGAATGTTAGTGAAGATGAAAATGATGTGGAAGACACAAAGAACAATCCACAGACATGTAGTGATGACGAATATACCGGGATATATTATGATGGAAGTGGAGATATCCCATTTATGCTGTCTTCCAACAGTCTTTGGTATTGAGTTGCAAGGAGAGTTCCATTCCAGTTATAAATGGTCAAGGTATATAATGTGCTTGGAACAACATTGTAAACAAGCTAGCCTCATCGATCAGTACAGGAGCATGATTTTAAACAATTTTCATTGCTTTCTATTAGAACGTCTGAATTTCTATAGAAATGTAAGATTTTTCTTTGTTGATATGGAAATCATGAAAAATATCCCTCTTTTTTGTATTCACTGATAAAGTTAATTACTACTGTAAGAACTCGAATAAGACACACCCACTTCTCTAAGTAAGACCGTAAGAGAGTAGATATCAAGTTAATTATTATTTTTATATATTAACAAATAACAAACACACCCACTTGTCTAAGTAAAAACTCGAATCTTTGACCTTTTGTTTTGAAACGTGAAAAAGTACCACTACACCACGTCATTTTGGTGCTCTCAACAGTGATTTCACCAACTAAATAAAAATTTGTTTAAGAAATAAAAAAACACCAAAATGAAACTACACAAGACAGTAACCTAACTAGTGACATCTTTCCGACGTGTTTTACTGTGCAAGGTCGGGACTTCAAGTCCAATATGAATTATGGCATAATATGATGACAAAATTTCTCGCTTAATTTAAGAAGAAAAACATATATAGAAGACAGTCCCTAGTGAAGCCTAATTTTGTCAAAAGACATCCAGATCAACATAATTAATGGACAGACAATCAAGGAGGGTCGCCTACCATTAAATATAAGATAGATCCATACATTCATGTTTGAATTCTACAATCACACTATCCAACATTCAATGGTCACGTTAGCATTTCTCTTACAGTTTAGATAGTAAAGTTTTTCTGTGGTGCTTGATAGCAAGCAACACAAGAAGGATTTCATGTTTACGTTTAGGTGATGCTTGTCTTAACCTGACTTAGATGGGAAAGATTTGGGACATGTTTCTGATGAAGGTATCTTCTAGGCACAAACAATTTCTTAAAAGATCACGCCCCATATGTGTCCTGGTTTGACAATAAAATTTGAAACTAAACATAGTCTGCAAAGTTGAATTGGACTGCATATTATTTTCCTTCATTTTACATTAATATTACTTCCATTTTCCAGCATTCTTTTCAAAGCAACCAACCGAAGAATATAAATCATACCATAAAGCTTAAATGTATAGGGTTGAGCAGTTAATTTATACATTATACAATCCTCATTCATTCAGTTTATAAGTATGAATACTCTCTCAAATGGTAGGATTAATATACATAAAATATGAAATCGTTCTCTGAATTTACACCACTGCTTTCTTGCTTCCCCAACACTAGGACAACAGCTCAAGTTCTTTGGATATTAATAAATTTAAAGACAAGACAAAAAGAAAAGATGTAAAGAAACTAACAAAAAGTGAAGAACCTCCCTTCGCTACCACAGAAGTTTGTTCCTTACCCATCCTCATCAGATAAGTCCTCGTTTGTTGAGCTTGAGTTAAAAGCTTAACCCATACATGTTGAGTGGCCTGAGGGGAATGTTCTTGCTGAGGAAGTCTCACCCAAGGACATAGATGCCAGGGATGACGCCCAAACACGAGCACTCCTAGCCCCGTTATGGAAGTTTCTGGTTTTACACAGCTTCAGCTTAATCCATACCCTCTTTACATCAATTAGCTGGAGAGCACGTCCCACAAGCTGGCTCGACTCTCCAAAGATCCCCAAATTCAGATGTGGAATGTGTGCAACCCACAAAGCCATTAGACGAGATAGTATCTCCGGGAAGAAATATAGGAATGCCCTCAAGAAGAGGAACAATACAGAAAATAACAAATAAGGCTCCCTCAATAATATCTCCTTTAGAGATGTTCGATTCCAGGGCTGAAGGACTTTATGATCACTTTCTGAATTGCTGGTTTCATCTTCAGTCAAATCCACCACTGGCTCGAGCCCTAAAATGGAAAGAAAGATATTGGGTAAAAAATAAACATAATCATCATCGAATGTTAAATGCTTTGTGGAAACAGAAAAGAAGAGAAGGAGGAGGGGGGTTGTTGAAAGAAAATCATTTATATTACTACACACGAGACATTGAAATGATTTACTTTCACTGGATCACAGGCCTCTAAGTCATATGCAAGTATTTTTTTTTGAAGTGTTACCTGTAGTTCTCTCATAGAAGTGTGCAAGGGAGCGGAGATCTTTTGGACCATGATATCGCACTCTAGCTGTCTGGTTCACTATCAATATAGAGGGCAAGCTGTGAATTCCATATCTTGAGAAAATGCTGCAGATACGACAAAAAGCATGTAAATAGAAATCATGACAATGCCAAGACACTAATGTGACAATAGGATATGGAGAAAGGGAATGTAAAGCAACCCACCTTGGCAAGGCTGAAGACTGTTCAACCATTAAATGTTTAATTTGAGGAAACATGGAACTGAGGGCAGCAAACTTGGGTTGAAGATCACTCGAAAAAGGACACCAGGATGCATAGAACAAAACGGCAGTATATACATTAATCTGGCTGGATCTTAAAGCTCTATCAAGGGATTCCCCATCCATCTTTAAAGACAAGAACATGAACTATATTAATAATGTTCAGTAATCTGCATGTCTTTATGCAGTAAAAGATATGCAAATTCCAAATCCAAGAAAAAGTTCCACAGGAATACATCATCATTGGAATAAACACCATTGCAACCACACCATCACTGTTGTCGTCATCATCAAGTATATCATCATCTTCATTATCACAAGAAAAAAAAATAAACAGCAGCATGGCTTGGGCTATAACATGACAAATTCGATAAATAATCAGTAATTGAGATGATTTAGTGATTTCATATTTTAGTTAGGAAATTATAATTGAACAAAAGACCAGTAACAAAAATTAGTGGGTGATCTAGTCTTGCAAAAATGTGAAATTTTCAACCCAGTATGAGAAAGAACTGCTGGTGTTCACAGGGGGTTTCCAAGTGCAATAAAGAGCAAATGTTCTTTCTTTGCGACAATCTCATAAATTTTAAAGTGTTAACTACCATCTACTCTAAAAGCTTAAGCTGTTAGAGAGGGTGCAACTTTAATATTTAAATCCTTCAACACGCCCCCTCACACATGGCCTTCTTTTTGGTCCAACACGTGTTTTCAATATTAATTTTCAGGGTGATGATGAGGTTTGAACACGAGACCTTTGACTATGATACCATGTTAACAACCATCAACTCCAAAAGCTTAAGCTGTTAGAGAGGCTGCAAATTTAATATTTAAATCCTTCAACATAAAGGTAAGATTACAACAAGAAATAACTTTTCCTCACTGTTTTTACATACAAAAAAGAAAATGCAAGCATCATATAAAACTACATGCTTCAGATGGAAACCAGTAGAGTCCATGAAACTGTACGTAATCAGAAACATGATTAAAATGAAACCTACTTAATAAATAAATCCTTAGCAAATTAAACTCTAATTCATAGGACAGCTAATTAAATTCCGGTTTGAATAACATGAACATTCCGCACATGGGAGAATATCTAACTTCAGAGAGCTAAAAATCCATTTGCACTCTGATCAACATGACTACAGTAAAGCAGCGGATTATAAACATCTAAAAGTAGTGGTTTCCTTCTATGAGAAGCATTCAAAGGTTCCACCACAACATCCGTTATTGTGTGGGTATGACAGATAAGTGAGCACAAAACATGATCCAAGCAAAAATCCTACAATTTAGTCAAAGCATCTATTTGAAACTTTCAAATCATAACAGCAAACACTGAAAGAGGAGACGAGCTCATAAAAGGAAGAATGTGCTCAAGAAATTTCAACTAAACCCCAAAGTAGAGAAGGTCGTTCAGCTAACAGAAAGGCAGATATGTATAGAGAGAAGCCTTGTTCTGAATCAATATCCCATAAAATATATATATATATATATATATATATATATATATATATATATAATAAATAAATAAAAAACCACAGTACAACATCAACTCTTAGTTCAAGAAAACTTCTATAAGCAGTACTCACAGCTCCACAATACTCATTTGAGAGAGAAATATCCTACTAGATAACCTTGTCCTTGCAAATCACACATCATCATGTGTTTGAACTACCTGACACGTATGGTAACAATTAAATGGTCATAAAGAAATTTAAACCACTGCTGGAGAGTAGACATATTGGGCGAAAAAGTAATCTCTGAAATGCACAGCATGAAACCTCAATCTCAACTCACTCCTGCAAGAGATATAGTTTGGCACACGGGGTTGGGGAATGGTTTGTATATGCACTAACACATAGTCAGACATCCCAACAATTTGAAGTCAGCAACCCAAACTATGTTCTTCGTCCAAGAATAAAAATTTCAAAACCTTTCTATTCAACCTTATATTGATGTCCTCTAACAAGTACATACAAGCCTAATCCATGTTCAACATGTGTTGGACACTGACACTTCCAAGCACTCCTTGATTGTGTCCATAATTTAGGAATAAAATTCTTGGTGTCACACACATAGCTGACACTTCTTGAACATATATTAAAATGGACTAACATTGATCATTGTATGAGACTTTCTTTTTACATGAAAACAAAGTATAATTGTAGATTTGTATTAAAAATTAAATTTGACCATATTTAAGAAAACATAAAAGTTTGAAGGCTTATTAAAGGAGCGAGCATGGGAGTCATCAAACTTTTCATATACATACATATTCATATGCATTCCATATTTACATACAAACACAAACAATTACATGCAAATAATTACTACGTGACAAATTTCATGTTGGTGTTAAATATATTTTAGTTGTCATATATAATGTAATTTTAATATAAAGTACATATATATATATATATATATATATATATATATATATATATAATCGCTGATTCCACGCCAACTTTTTAAAGATTTCTCTGTCAACTTATCTATGTTGTTACGTATCATTGTCCCGTGTCCATGTCTATGCTTCTTTGTGTGTCCTTTTTGGCCTCTCCAATCTCATCTTAGAAACTTCAACCAGCAGAAATATTATCTTGGATAGTCTACTTGGTCAGATCAAAGCAACTCAAAAACCTATTGGTATCCTTCCAATAACTACGGAGAGACCAAAAAAATTGATAAATATCTCATATATCCTGTTTCTCCAACTTAGTACTTTCATCCAGATTCTTGATTAAATTTATCACTTCACTCATTCCTTTTTATTCAAATTCCTGGACCACAAAAACGCCTTGCCAGGCACATGGCTCCCACTCGATCACTTCCCTATGGGTATCACCATCAGCTGCATGAAAGAGATTTGCTGAGAGGAACTTGCAACATCTCAATGCAGCAAGGAGCCAGAGCCACTATACTTGGGCCACAAGACTGACAACTAATGATATTTCCCGTCTAACTTTCTACATAATATTACTTTTTTCCAATAATCCAGCTCCCCAAAGCATAGCCTCAAAAGTTGAAAAAAAAATAAAAAAAAATAAAAAAATAAAAAATAAATAAAAAACACGTTTGTAAAGAGAGCAGAACAGTGAAAGGAATCCCCATCTCTCTTTGCAGCCCTGGAATCAGGACCTTCCCTTTCTATTTCTCGGTAAGCAGCTACGCTCATTTTGGGTCACATACACAATAGAGAAAGGATCTATACGTGTCTGATTCCTGGCCATTCATTTGTGCGTCACTTATTTTATCTACATATATACCAAAACTAGAGCATTTCTATGGCAGTAATATGTCAACAGAATCAGCATATACGACTGCCTTCGATCTCAACTACGAAACCACGGGAAAATGTTCAGGCAGCTGGGTTAGAAGGACCATCAAGCTGTTAGGCTGAGGGCAGATGTAGAGTAGACAGCGATGGTGGCGAAGGATCCAAAAAGTTTCCATGACACGCAGTCTTAGCAGTAGACTTTAGTGATCCCAGCTTTATCCCGATCTCTTTATAGGCCCTATATTATCTATAAGCTATGCATAAACATGTAGACATTTTAAAATTGTTTTCACCATGCTCCTTGTGCTTCAACAACTTATGCAAATCTTTTTTCCCTAAATGATGAACAACTTATGAAATTTAAACATGCATCTCAGGGATAAGTTCATACAAATTATGAAGAAACAACAAAATATCATATGGAGATTGACTTCAAAAAGAGAGAACCAAAACAAGGGAACAAAGGCCATACAATATGCAAAATCTCAAAGATGAAAAAGGTGAATTTGAATTAGCAAGTAAAATTTGTTCCCAAAAGACTTATCAAAAAAATAAATAAGAACCTTTGCTCCCAAAAGAAAAAAGGCTCTTTCTAGTAAAATGGGGGAAAAAAATCAATTAAGGTCAAGCCAACTGCTCTCCAACACAGAAAAAAAGGGAATATGTAAAACACCCAATCTCTATAATTTGACCCTTAGAGATGAGATCTAACTAAATAATTTATCCGATTTTCACCAACAAGAAAGATTAATAATCTGTCTTCAAGGCAACAAATTATTTGTGATTTATTCAAAGAAAATTTCTGGATATGTGAAACTAACTTAATTTTAGACATGGACTAACATAGGACAAATGTGGTCACAAACCCCAAACTTCCCATCTCACTAAATTTGCTACCGGAGCATTGTGAACCTGGATAGTCCATAGATTCGGGAGCCGAATCATCATCCTGACACCACTCAAGCCCATGGAAATATTAGTCCAGTCGCCATGTTTAAGTAAGATAACTTTTGACAATCTCTAGGTTCTTCTCCGTGTGGTAATCCCATACGATCCACTTGTTTAGGATGCCAGTCTTGACTCTTATTCTAGGAGTTTCAGTGTAAGAGCTTCATCCACAATTTCCTTTTCTACCACTTCCTACAGTGACTATTTGCTATGTGTGGCCAATTGAACTTATAAAGTACTCTTATACATTTAGACTATAGTCATTCGTCTAACTTGCACACGCCAATTGGCTAAACTAGTCTCATCTGACTCCCTGTCATCATCTGTTAACAACTCGTATTTCATTTATTCCTTACTTACTATGCTTCATATAATTTTCATGAAGTTAACACGGGTAGAGTTAGTAAAGGAGGATATGATAACATGTGGTTTGACTGAGGCTATGGCCTTAGATAGAGAGGAATGGAAGAATATAATTCATGTAGCCGACCCAAGTAGTAAGGAAATGCTTTTTTGTTGTTGTTGTTGTTGTTGTTGTATGCAAAATTATAAAGTGACTATTTAGGCGGTTGGACCTGTACAACAATTAATGCTATAAAGCAAGGTGATCTCATACCCTATCATATGCACTATCCCTTTGAGTTACAGGTGGGCAGTGAAGTCTCAAATCAAAAAATTTCTCGCACACGGAATATGTTTATGCCAACTTATCAACGTGTTCCATAAAATACTAAACGAACTACAGTCAATACTTGTCAAGTTAACCCATGCTGCAAAGATCAAAACAATTTGTCTATGCATCTCTCAACACTTTTTGGGTTATTTTACACTCAGTCTACAACGAACAGGATTGGATTTCATATTCAAATGAACCTTGTAATCATAGGGAAATTTTAGCAACGGGCTTAGCAAAATAAAATTTTGGATAGGATCCTATTGGATCACCCCCTTCAAAATTAAATGTGAAAGTTTTCTTTCATCGGGATCAAGTAAATAAACCAAATAAAGATTTTAAAGATAAAGAAAGCAATTCTAATTTTCAAATTATGGAGAACCATATTCATTTCATTTTGTCTTCATCTTTCCTTTTACCATATCCTAATTTTCATACTACAATCCACTCATATGGTCTTGGGTTCGATTCCCTTCTCCCTCAAACTACTAATCCTCTAACCATTGCCAAGTACAAGAAAAAAAAATAAATAAATAAAAAAATAAGACACTGCTAAAGAAATGTGGGATTCACTAAGGAAACAATGTGATCAAGGAAAACAAGATTCAGCTTCTCAAAGTAAGCATGCCTATATCTTGCCGCTAACAACAGTTGCAATTGCCGGATAAGCATATCTCAGTCAGATACAACAAAGAGCAAGCTTGAAAGGCATCAACCAAACATGCATTCTCAAGTAAAGAGCACAAGTCCTATTGCTTGGTATGAGAAGCTTCACATTTACACAATTTTCAAAGCTTGTACCTCGAATGACAAATGGTACGTTGACAGTGGCTGTTCAAGGCATATGATAGTTTGACAGTTCTAAGTAGTGACCATTTTAGCTAAAATGGTTCCAAAAGTGTTGAGAACCGACAAAAATGATCTTTTGTAAATAAAATGTCCATTTTCAATTTTAATTCGGTTTTGATGTAAAAAATGGTCGGGAATGACCAGGAGAGAACAAGCTGCGGGAGTCGACTCAAAGAAAGTGGGAGTCGGCTCACAGGGCCGTGGGAGTCTACTCACAGCCCCTGTAAGTTGGCTCACACAGAGAAAATGAGAGGACGCATTCTGTTCTACACTAAAATATGCAAAAATAACCACGAGTCCGAGATGCAAAATTTTGAAGACATTGTTCACAAACTTATAGACTATTATAGAATTAAAGAACCACTACTTCTATCAGCTTCTTCTTCTTCTTCTTCTTTTAATTTTTTTTTTTAATTTTTTTTTTTTCTGACTCCTCCTTAAATCATCCAACTAAATAGAATAATAGATATCCGAAACGGTGAAGCACAAGATATCTGCATTATTCAGTCACACAATTTGTGAGGGTCATTAATTTTACTCGTGCAACAAAAAAATTAACTATAATCGCCATATTCAAACTAATTTATATAGATACGCTCACTTACATATCATAATACCACATACATGTATATATAGTTACATGAAGAATGACCTAAAACCTGATTCAAAACAACAGAATAAGCCAAAACGCAACAACAATCTAGTGGCGATACCAAGAAGGAAAATATTAGAATTCTTGAATCATCCTTAGAAGTTAGAACTACAACCGAATCCAACGGTACAAAAGCCCACATATTTTAATAATTAAAAAATAAAGATAAAAAGAGGACAATCATTCCATCAAACAATAAAAGTTTATAAACAAATGCAATTTAATCCAGAAGAATTTGAACCTATACATGGGAATTTACACACGGACAGCCAAAAAGAATACTAACAAATTGAAAAAGAAAAAATTAAAAATAAAAATAAATGATTGACCGCAAATGGAAACCCCATACCTCAATCGGCGAAGATAACGAGATCGCCAGAGGGCATTGAAACTGTAGATCGTGAATGAACGGAGTGGGCTGAGGATGGCACATGGATATAGATGCAGAAGATGATGATGAAACGTCTCGAATCGAAGATGCCGCTGTGAATATACATAGCAATACAAAATATTTCATCGACGCCGCCATTAATAGATCAAATAAACGATTCACAGTTCAAGATACGCCCCCTTCCGCCCTCTCTCTCTCTACTACCCTTACAATCTCTCTCTCTCTCTCTCTCTCTCTCTAAAACTCTGACCCTTCGGTTCGAAAATTCGACCACTTTCTCTCTCCTACCAAACCAGCTTTGCAACTCTCTCAGCCACTTTCGTCTTCGTACATTTTTGATATCTTATTGCTATCATGACCTTCGTGGATTCTTGATAAAGTTACAGCTCTAGACAATAAATTGTGTCACTCCAGAGGTTGATTGGTTGAGAGATGACGTGGTTACCTTTTGACTTTGAAAAAAATTGGCTGTGTTTTTATTGAGTAAGCTGAAACGAACGACTTACCAATATGGGCGTAATAGCCGGTTGAACCGTTTTGTACGATAAAGCGGTTTAAAACTTTCGGTGCTCCGGGTTGTGACAATTTAATCACGCAATTTAATATCATAGTCCATATAAAGTACAAATAACTACTTTTCAGCAAGATCCTATTGTTCTGCCACCATTTATTTGGGGTAATATTGTCGGAATGAATAAATATTTTATATTATCAAATTAATGTAGCTAAATTTTTTTTTAAATCAATCATGAGTGATGAGTAGATAGTTTATATTATTTAAATAGTGATTATTCAGTAACCGAGTTATTATTACGTTTGTGAGAGTTTAAGTGACAAATCTACAATACTTATTAAAATAAGATAGAAAGAAATAGTCCCTATTTGTTCTCGTTGCCATGTTTTTGGACTTTTTTTATTTTTAAAAGGAAAAAGAAAAAATATATTGCCCATAGGCTCCTTCAAAAATTATTTTCAAAAAAATTTTAAAATTTGATTTTTCTTTTTATTCTGGCAAGTAACGCCCACAACAATTGTCTTGAAATTGCATTTCCAAAGGTGGCCTTAAGGCTCCGTTTGTTTCCATGTAAAATATTTTTTTTGAAAAATATTTTTATTTTTAAGTAAAATATTCTTTTACTTTTATTTTGTCGGTATTTGACAAAGATCTACATCAAAATTGAGGTCCGATTTTTATCTTTTAAGTAAAATATTCTTTTATTTTCCGATTTTTATTTTTTAAGTAAAATATTCTTTTATTTTTATTTTGTCGATGTTTGACAAAGATTTACGTCGAGATTGAGGTCAAGTCCATTGGACGGGACATATAAAATAACTTACCGAAAATTTATAAATAAATTATTTTTATTAAATTTTAATGTTTTTTTTCTTCGTAACGACAACTAAACACCACCAAAAAATAAAAAATATATATATTTTCTAAAAAATATTTTACTTTTAAACAAGCGAGCCTAAATGAAAATGCTTCTCACTTGAGTATCCATCTTAAAACCTAAATCCAAGTCTCAGAACAATTACTTCTTTTGTGTAGATAATGCCAAACATCAAGCCTACTTGAAAATTACATGATCTTTGTAAAATAATAATTTGAAACCAAGTATCAATTTTTTTTTTTTTTTTTTTTTTTTAATTACAAAAAAAACAATTATCACTCACATGGTCTTATGAAGACTTAAACCATACATTATTATACTTTTAAAAGTTAGAAAATACATACCTTAGTACCAATAAAGTACACAACCTTTGATAACAGTGGATAGTTCTCTCTTTGACGACTCTAAAATGACAGTAAAACCACCGCCTCAGGGAGGAAGTTCCAAGTCCTTATTAAGACTAGTGACTTTGTGAGTCTGTCTTACCTATAGAAAAGAAAAATGGATTTTTTTTTTTCATTTTTTTCCTTACCCAAGTTCAGATTAAAAATGGCTGATATTTTCGCTATCCTCCACTTCATGCAAGGTTGTTTACCTACAATGAATAAAAAATAAAGTTATATTTCTCATCATCGTGAATGTTTCAAACTGAACAATCATTCCTCACCTTCCGAACTCAATCTTCTAGGTCAACGAGAGAAGGGAAGGTGTATCCGTGTGGGACTTCACGAAATGGTTTGTAATCTAAAGGCTCCAAATAAATAAGGCAGCAAAACCAGTCAGTCACCCTAAAGCCACCACTGACATGCCAGATTCAGGCTGCTATACAGCATGTACATGACTCAAACCATTGATGAAAAACAGAGGCACCTTAGCTATAACAACACCATTGGAAGGACAGTGCAGAGTGTCCCTTCCTCTGAACAAAGCAGAAGTTGCTAGCCTTCTCCAACTCATGCTTTGGCCTCAGAACTGTATAAATGCCGCAAAAAACCATCTGAAAAATCATACTATATCTCTTGTTGAACCAGAATTACATTTAACAGAGACCCAAGACAAAGAATCATAGAACACAAAATGCTAGGTTAAAACTGCATTCATTTCTTGATCAAACTGGATTCAAGTTTCTGACCCTGTTGTTACCCCCAAGGTTTCATACCAAAGGCAAATTGTTAATTTTGATGATAATACCCTACTAGTGTGGAAATGTGATCTACTTGAGTGTGATTAGTTTCAGGACAATTTATAAACTCAAAGTATGTAAAGATCCATGGACAAATGCAAAATCTCTCTTGGAGCTAAGCTCATGGCATATGGAATTCAAATGTTGAAGATCAAGTTCGATACCATCGGGTCATATGGGTTGATGAGAGCTAGATCCTTGTTAAGTAATTTTTGATGCATTTGATTCGAAAGCTCAACTCTAGGATTTAAATGCATTGAGGACCTAAAACTTTAAATATTGAATAATCATTCTAAGGTCCCTATGATAAATGACTTGGCCCAAGAACTTAGATGAGTACCATAAAGGGCAAAAGAGTCATTTCGCCACTTAGTGATACTTCAGCACTTAAATTTTTCAAAATAAAATTTTCAAAGTGACAGAGACATCTAGATGTTTTCCTATATATGTCTACAACTTAATGGTTTGGCAAAAGCACTGCAAGTGCAGAGTTTCAGAAATGGCTATATAGACATGTTCATGCTTTCCGGCAGACATCTACATCTTAGTGTTTTGGCAAGCGACTGCAAGTGCAATAGTTTCAGAAATTGCTAGGAAGACGTCTTAATGGTTTCCTAATAGACGTCTATCTCTGCATGTCCTAGAAAAGGACTGAAGTGCAGATTTCTCAGAATTTAAGGACTAAACATCTACATGACCTTATTTAGATGACTGTATCAAAAAGTTAATCCGCAACTATACGTGTAAGTGCTGTCTTCTAGACGTCTATATGAATACAACAAGTGCTGAAAGTGATCCAAGGAGGACTAGACGTCTATATGGAATCCTATAGACATCTACATGACGTTAATCCGCAACTATAGGTGTACGTGCTGTCTTCTAGAAGTCTATATGAATACAACAAGTGCTGAAAGTGATACGAGGACTATACGTCTATATGGAATCCTATAGACATCTACATGACTCGTAATTTTTATAAACCAGTTTCCAAACAGCCTAGTGTCGATCAAATCTAGTGATATACATTCTAGAGTCGAGCTTTCATCACTTGCTTCATTTCTCTAGAGAGAGATTTGATTTGTATATCTGTATCCATTGAGGAATTCTTTGTACTCAACTCTCATTTATCTTGTGCTTGTTGTAAAAGGGTTGGTGTAACCCTTAAATTCTAGGCGACCCCCTCCTCGAAATAGGCAGGGGAGCTGAACCACATAAAGATTTAGTGTCCTGCACTAAACTGACAGAACCTTATTCCCAAAATGATCCATGTGCGACCCCATAAAATATAAGGCAAATTGATACATTTTGTCAAGTCACTGCCAAATACCAAGCAGCTAATCCATCCACAAATTTATGCGGTGGATGTTTATGAACAACTCTGTAAGCCAAAAACTGGTACAGATGAAGCCATCGAAACCCAGCTGCGCTATTCTTATAATTCCTCACTGATGAGTGATACCTGACCCTTATACATTGTATACATCTAGTCCAGCAGGTCATCCAACTCAACTTCAACCAATCCAGTCTGACATGCTTATTGAGGTTTCAGTCTAATAATAGGAAATGCTGAAACAAGCTAAAAATTATTCTCATGATCCGAGCAATGAGATTTATGATTTTCAGGCATAAAAATTAACCTCAGGGGATACGAAAGACTTATACTCAAAATTGTGAAGAAAAACCTACAAAAGGTTCACCTCATTTGTAAGAGGCACATATCACCAAATATAGCCAGATGCCTAGGCAAAGAACAGAGACAGTTCATCTATGTATTTTCAAAATTATAAAATCATAATTATGGTTAGAATGTTGAGGTTAGAGTGAGAACAAGAACAAAATTGAGAGTGAATTACTGTGAGAGTGTCTCAACATGCATATATGTCTCACTCCAACAACAACAACAAAAAAAAATGCATATACATCTGTCTACAAGCATTCGTTTACTCGCAACCAGTTCAAACCAAAAACTGTAATAAAAATCCTTCTATGCCTCACTGGGTTTTGAAAGAGAGTGGACAAAAATTTGTTGTTGTGATGCAAGGTCAACTGCCAAAGCCAAAGCTTTCTAAGTTTTCTGATCTAAAGGTGAGTAAGTGCTGGCACGGGTAGATCATCTTATACCACCACTTTGCCATTTCAATGATTTACTGTGGAGTAACACCTATTTTAAAGAGACCAGATGCCAAATTTAAAACAATTTTAAGGTTCTATAGTACACTTTAACATCCTATAGATCTTGGAACAGAGAACTAAACACCTACACTCCTCACCTTTCAGAATATTAGATTGGATTGATCATCTACTTCGAAAGTCACATACCTAATTCAGTAATTCAATGTTTATACTCTATCACAAAGTGGAAACATCCTAAATTATGTTGAACTGAAGAGATAATAGCAAACGGATCTCAAGTATGAGTTCATAAAACCATGGAAGTTTGAATATTGTTTTCGATGTAGTCAGATGCAAGCTAAACTCAACAGGAGCTGAAACTATCAACAGAGACAATCTTCGAAGTATATTTATGGCTTTTATGGAAGTCGATCCATAGTAAAAGATAAGGGATTGGCAACATTTATCCCACAACAAATGTTATAGAGGTATCTTGCAATTTCATATATTAAAAACTCATAAAACTCAAAGCACAAACCTGACAGTAATAAAGAAGCTGAAAACAAATAAGCGACAAGTCAAATTGCTAGTTCAAAAACATTACATTTTTTTATCAAACTGAATACTAGTTACTGAGCTCACAACTTACCTCTGTTACAGAAATACAAGTATCCTATCACGTTCAACAGTTGTAAAATTCTGTCACTTTGAAAAGCTTCAAAACTGCTTTCTTTTGTTCCTAAACAATTTGTCTCTTTTTGCATAAACATAAAAGACAGCAAAGAGAACTAATGCAGACCCAGAAACTGATGCCCAAGGAAATGGAGGATCCTTAAAACAAACAAGTGATGCCTCCATTTCTTGGGATGCATGATAAACAAGAGAGTGAATGGCATACAGATCGTGTTCAGACGACCTTGAAAAATATAAAGCCATCTCAAAATCCAAATGTGACAATGCAGAAACCGCTTTGTCCAGCTTGTACTTGAACAAATTCCACCTCTGTACGAATTCGGTATGTTGATTCTGCTTAAGAAGGTTTCTGTCTCCACCATGTGCAGCTATAGATTCAAGAACGTCAACGGCACTAGTAATACTGTAATTCAATGTTGTCAAAAGAACATTCCTGCGAGCCGCGTCCTTCTGCACAAAGGACAAGGACGAAATTTCCGAGAAAGGCCCAAACGGGGTCTGCCCAACACTCCATGTGTAATCCACTAGAGTATTATTATGCCTAGAGCTCCACAACAAATGGGTAGGCGATACTCCCCACATACTCTGTAAAATTGAACCCACTAGTGGTCTCTCAAGCTCCCGGGTCTGTGTAAACACATGGCGGCCATTACAGCTATAATCACTCACAGTCTGCGTATTCTTTGTCCGGACTGCAATAACCATGTCTTTAAACGCAACGGACTGGTGATACCTATCAAGCAACAATATCGAATTGTAGTCCAGATCAAAAACATAAACAGGAAGAACCCTTGCCAAATCCTCCTCTGGAAACCCTGCCAACCTCCTAAACTCTTCAGCTGATTCTGACAAGATCTGATGCAATCGTTTCGAATCCAAGTACTCACTAACAATCAAGGTATAGTTATCAAACAAGTACCTTGAAGTGTACGAGGTAATTGCACGCGAAATGGCGAATGAACACATCGAGCACTCAGCATAAAGCACCTCATAAGTCTTAAAATTCAGTGACTGATCACCCAACAACAAGCCACCATCGTTAACCTCATCCATAAAAGTTCTTTCAATGGATTTCCAGTCCAACCCATTCATGTCCTTAGTATCCGACTCCCGTATATGTATAAACTGTACAATCAATGAATTCTCAAATGGAACAGGAATTCTCAAAGAGGGAACAAGAAGTACCTGATAAGCACTCCAAACAAGCGATGCCAAGTCCGCCAGCAATGCCTTCTGCGACTTGGGTCGACCGTGCAATGCTGTCAACGGATGAAACTCACCTCTCGGCAACACCCCATCACCGGACAAAGCCGGCCCGTAATCCACTGGTCCAGCTGCCAAATCAATCCACAAATAGCGATCTTTTCCGGTCCAGACACTCCCCAAGCACTTGGTGAAAGCAGGTGAAGGATCTCCCAAACCGTAATTGTACGCATAGGGGTTCGATTGGGGACCCAAATTGAGCAAGTATATGTAAATTCCTTGAACGGGTTTCTCTTTCTCGAACTCCTGTTTGATGATCTGGTCGATGGCGGAGTAGGGGACTGAAAGGAGAGGAGAGCGGAGGGACGAGGGAGTCTTGGAGAGTTCGGATCGGAGGGTTTCGGAGAGGTGGGTGGAGAAAGAAGAGGAAGAAAGAGAAACGTCGAGGTGAAGCGAATGGGTGAGAGCGAGGTGGTGATGGTGGTGGGAAAAGGGGGTGATGATGTGGAAGTTATCGGAGGAGACGGCGGCGTTGAGGAAGGAAGAGAAAAGGGAGGTTGAGGAGGAGGAGAAGGAGGAGCCGACGAGTTTGACGGTGACGGGGACGGAGAGTTGGAGAGAGAGAAGGGAGGAAGTGGTGGGTGGGTGGAGGGAGAGAGAGAGTGATTTCTTGAGGGAGGAGGAGAGAGAGAGGAAGGAGTCGTTGGAGGCTTGTGGGTCAAGGCGGGATTGTTGGGATAGGAATGAGTCTAGACCTAGGATTGGGGCGGAGGTGGTGGTGGATATGAGGGTGCTGCTGAGGATTAGAACGAGGAGGAAGGTGGCGATGGTGGTGGTGGTGGGCATTTTGTGGAGGCGGAGCTAGGGTTTGGGGCCAGTTGACAGGAGACTGAAAGAAGTGGTGTGAGACTATATTATGGACGAGCCTGTGAAGCATTCTATTAGTTTCCCTGATCTAACAGCGTTAAATGATGCAGCTAATTATACAAACTACAGAGTTCCTACTAATTGAATGCAAACGATATTATATTTTGATGTGTATAGTAATTTTTCATTTTCCTTGATAAAACTGAAAATGTAATATTTAAAATATGAAAATTGAATTTTAAGTGTTAAAATTCTATACAGTAATTGTAATTTGAGAATTTCTTTAATATATTTTTTGGTTTTAGTATCCGGCATTGGGTGATTAGTGAAATTGATTTTAGTTTAAAAAAATTCTTAATTTAAGTAATATTTCCAAAAATATTATCAAACACATTTAATTTATTTATTACTAATTATCAAACAATACCTGTGTTTAAAGAATGTGATTACATGTCAATGTCATTGTGTCCTACTTTTAACATCATCCCATAAATTATTTCCGATAACTTTCTTATGTCAAATTTTCTTTTAGTATTATTTTTATTTAATAATAGAGGCACAATGGTAAACAAGTCGAGGATAAACGGAAGGACTTTTATAAACAAGTATTTAAAAATCTTTTACACTAATTTCTTAATTTTAACACTGTAACATAACGAAAATTAGAAAAAGCACAAGAGTCTCCAACCAGGCTCCAACCCCAGATCGCTAGCACAAGTTTTTCTGTCCAAGTCATCATCCGACCTCATCACTTTTTCTTTCAATTTCGTTGTGTAACATATAAGTAATTAGACGAACTTCCAGTAAAACTTAGTCTGCCACATGAGTAAAAGACAACTCTCCCCGACCTCTATATCCATCACAATTTATAAATAAATATATAAAACGTTCAAATTCACTTTAAGTACACACATGAATCTGAGAACACATACGGAATCATTCTTCCAGATAACAAATTCATCATACATTACACTTATTTGAGAAAAAAATTAAAGTTGCACATATTGCAGCAGGCCCAGTCTCTGCAACTCGTAAAAATCACGACTCGGTAGGGAATGGAACAACATTTACAGAAGAATGAGCAAAATGCCTTCAATTCTCTTAAAACTTGTAAATCAACTAAAATATGAAAACAACACTGTCATGCACTCTGGACTTCTGATTCTGAGCAACACATTCAGATATCCACATCAGGTTCCTAATCTCCTGCTCCCTTAACCTCATGTATGCAAAGAACACGGCATAATGGAACTGCAGCTCAGGAAGGAAAACATATGTTCCATTGTAAGCTAAAGGATGGATAGTGAATTGACTAGAATACAAATTGTTTCAGCGTTTCCTAGGAAGCATGTTACTTCCAGCAGAGCAAAAAACGATTTCAACACCTCATTCTGTAAATCACAAACCTGTTGTTCGAATGCCAAGCAAAGCCTTTTGACCTCCTCTTCGTAGAATGCCTTGTCAAGCATCTGGCTCTCTCCATAGGATAACTTAGCAAATATGGGCTGATAAGGAGGGTATTTTTCCATGACAGCACGAACCTACAACACCATCCGAAAAAGGAACTAAGAGCCACCACATATTCGATTCCAAGACATTTAAGATAATGGAAACCGGATAAAATAAAATAAAAAATACATGTATCCCCCAAATAATAACTCAGCTTGGGGTGGGTTGCTTAGCTACAATCATAAAATCTGTGTAGATACAAGTTTACTTGGTTCATTTTTACAAAGTGAAAAAAGGTGGTGAAAGTTTTATGCTTTCCTTATCATACATGGTTACCAACACGGTGAAAATGACATGTAGAAAAAAATAGCCAAGATGTTCACCCTGGATATCTTCAGAACTCATCAAGTTATCGTCTCAGAAGACCAACACAAAGAAACAGCAGTACCATGACCTTTCATTTTTCTTTGGGTTTGTGGGGGTGTGGAGGGCTTTGGTATTAGCATTTCTTCGAATTTTTAACTTATTGACATCATAAACCAATCATTCAATTCACAGGAGAAGGGATTTAATTCAGCCAAAAGAAAAAATGAAATATGTATATATAAAGTCATATATATATATATATATATATATAAAGTCAGAGATTTTATCACCAACCAAAATTAATCTTTAATGTGTATGCAGAATTCTTAATTTCTTCTTAAAAGAGGAACAAAGAAATGAACTCAAAACATACCTGGTCTATATCCTCACAGACAGCAAGTTCCTCATGACCATAGGGGTAACTAATTCAGGTAGAAACACCAATGTGAGATATAACTACAGAAAGGCAAATAACATCAAAGGTTGAAACTAAAAACAAGCTTAACAGAAGCTTACAGTAACCCAAAACCAGAGTACAGCTTCCTACGATCATCTCGGGTAAGCTCAGTGCCAATGCTGCACATAGTAAGCCACAACAAAAGATGCACAGGAACCTGTAACTAGATCTGCCTAAGTCTGGTAAAATAACAGAATTAACCATAACAAATTTGCAAATAGAGACGATACCTGTTTATTGTGATATTAACAGCTCTTCTGTCAGCCTCAAAGGAAAGAAGGTCAGACATGATCTCTGCTGTGGCACCACCAAGTTTCTATCAGAAAGTTCATATTAGAATTGAGCTAAGAAAATATATGGTGACTATTTGTAAGTACAAGATGAAAGAAATATTCGAACATCAGGCAGTCAACACACCTGACAAAACCTGTAGAAATCTTCTAGGTATGCCTTGTAAAGAGTGTTCCTCATAATTTCAATGTTCATGTCATCCAAGTCCTAAGATGGTACAAAGATAAAGGAGAAAAGAAATAAGATAGTATCAACTGACCTGTGAAATGAATCTTCAGTAGAACTAACTGAGCATTACTAATAATGAATGCAACGAGAACTAAATTGATACAGAATGGAAGTAAATTTTCTATTTTTACGTGTTGGTAACAAGTAATCGGACTGGGATGCTAATAGTGTTTATGTAATATGTAGAAAGTTCTTTCTTTGTTTACCAATTAGTTTGACAAGGAAATAGAAAAGCTTCAATTACATGTATAGGATATTGTCAGTGTTGTCAAAGGCGTGCCTAGGCTCCAGGCTCAAACAGGCGCAACATTTGCGCCCGTTGTGTGCCCAAGTGCGCCTTTGACAACATTTGCACCTTAATATGGAATATGAATATGATTTAATAATAATTTAATTTTTCAATTGTGCGCCTCGCCTCACTCGGGCGCGCGCCTCTCCTTGCCTTGCACCTAGGCACCAAAGGACCACTAGCGCCTTAGTGCACCTTGGGACTTTGATAACACTGGATATTGCTACAAATAGATAGCACATGCCATTAGTCCATGCCCTGTGAACCATTTATTATTAACACCCTTCATTAGAAAACAGTTGAACACATACTACTATAACAACAAACAAAGCCTTTTCCCACATGGTCATTAAAAATTTATGTTTAAGAAGTACATGAACTATAGGTATTAACGTTTTTAGAAAAGCACATCTGATAAATTACACAAAGACACACAGATCTTAATTAGAAAAAAGACATAAAAAGGATGGCAGTCGGAACCTCGGATGTGATACACTCAGAGAAATATGGAGCCAATGGTGTGTCAACAAGAACCAGTCTATAAAGCTCTCGCATATTTTGCGCAACTGCTAGGGTAGCAATGCTGAGGAAACAAATGGCAAATAATATTGCCTTATTAGCAGTCAAAACAAATCAGAAACATCCAATGAGGACACATTACCTGTCAAACATGCCCAAAGGATGACATTTCTCTAACAGTTCCTGGACATCTCTCTCATGCAAGGTTCCAGTAACAATCAGGACAACATTGTCAATCATGTGACCATATCTGAAAAAATGCAGAAACATTACGTTTTACTAAATTCTGGGAGTATTTTTTTTCAAGGTTAGGCATCAATTCAAGAAAGCTGCAGAGTAAAAATTCATCCCCACCACCTCCAAAATAAGTGGGTTGCACTAAAACTGCATCCACACAATGACCACATGTCTAACCCAACATTGTAGAAGCCAGAATTAGGGACCGAGATAGAATGTTGGCAGCCTTTTGCAAACAAGTGCTGGCACATGCATCCGCACGTGAGTGCACACACCAGCAGTGAGATTCACATTTGTGAAAATAAATACTATGGAATGTTGAGTGGCAATCCTGCAATGTATGCATCCGGAATTTGCAAACAATCCAAGAGTCCAAATTGGTTAGCGGATGGGTTGATTCTTCATAAGGAATATAACCAAATAAAATACAACAGTTACAGAATCTTTGAATTGATGGAGAAAATGAATTATTTCAAATTAGACTGTAGGAAATTTACCAAACAAGGTATTCATAATAAAATATTTTCCAGATCTAAAAAAAAAAAGCTATGATTTCAGAATTCCTTTTGAATTGGATCACAGCCAAGAAAATATACCAAAATCAATAATTAAAACCCTAAAAGTACTTTATAATATCTGCATGCATGAAACATTCACATTTAATCGTATAACTAACACCAAGTAATTAACACCAATTTAAATGTTGGGTGGAAATGACTTTTTTCAACTTAGATGTAGGAAATTTACCAAACAAGGTATTCATAATAAAAAAAATTCCAGATCTAAAAAAGAAAAGCTATGAATTCAGAATTCCTTTTGAATTGGATCACGGTCAAGAAAATATGCCAAAATCAACAATTAAAACCCTAAAAGTACTTGATAACATCTGCATGCATGAAGCATTCACATTTAATCGTATAACTAACACCAAGTAATTAACACCAATTTAAATGTTCCCTTCAAACAATAGCCAACGTAACCATATAGCATAATTGTCTAATTTCATAAAGAAGTCAACTAAAAAATTAATTTACCTAATAACACAACTATAGATGTGTCACCACAAAAGCACCCAATGTAAACTTATAAGATACTAAGGGTTACAAACTTCTAAAATATCAGCCTGAAAGAGGTTCAGCTAAAATTCATCTGATTCTTTCAGAAAGGATTAAAAACAGTCCAAGTGTGTAATCAGAATGTCCAATATGTGCATTACCAAATGTATGTCCCACCTGCATGGGTTGCTTAGAGGGGAAAGATCGGAGATAAGCCTAATCTTTGGCATCTTACACAAAGTAGTTGTGTTTTCACTCAAACTTGAGACCCCGGGCTTCTCAATCCAAGTTTTTATCACTGGAAACTAGGCAATGGCCATAAATTGTCCAAAATGTATTACAGAAAAATAAAGCTTTTGAGGAGACCAAAAATCCACATACGTGATATACTCTAAGAAGGTTGACAAAGGCTCTGTGGCTTGGCATAACATGTGCTTATACTCATCAACCAGCTTAAGGGTGCATTTCTCCACAATTGTAGTTGTATGCAACGGGGAGGGTTCTGCAAGTAAAATATGATAGCAATAATTAGTACAGGCTAAAACTATGAAATTTCATCAATCCATAAAAAACTCACATGATTCTACAAAAACTAAGATTATAGAAGTCTTCATACATTTTCCAAGAAATAATCAATCCTATACAGAAGTAAACTGATTTCAACCACTTATATCAGAAAATAGATGAACATGAAAAGAGCACCCAATCTATGCACCAGCTATCGAGCAAAAAGAATATCGATCTATCTATATGGATACAACTACATATGTAAATATATTTAAAAAGAATTAAGAATGCACTTTACTATTGATGTACAAATATTTGAAAGTTGGAAAAATTAGTTTGCTTCAATTTTTCTGTCAGTTGTCCTCTTTTCTCTCCTCATTGAGAGTTTTAAAATACATACTTCAATTCTCCTCATCCTCAGACCAGATTAGATTTAAATAAGAACCTCTATCAAAATACACAGGAAATGTGAGATTATGTTTGAACTTAACAAAAACATACAGATGGATCTTCTTAAAATGAGTTTTGATTGCTCTTTTTCAAAAGCACTTCTAGAAAAAGAAAGGGAAGAGGGAGGGAGTGGGGAAGGTTTTCCCCAGGTCCCTAAATATTCAATTCCAAATGTGTCTCTACTTCTAACTTGCCAAAAGGAGAAAAAAAGATGCTTCTTAGTAGCCCTAAGCCCCAAAAAAATTTGAGTATGCAGAGGGTGGCCCCAGCTGAGACGTTGATAGACTGTGATCCCACCATAACTACTAGTTATCGGATTTTTAGCCATTTAAAAGCAGACAAGAACAACTATGCGATACAGGTGCCTAAAAGTTAAAGAACCAGCATATGTAAAGATATGGAACCTGAAACATGTCTTGCAAAACAAATCTATATTTAAGAACTACAATAAACACGTATATTCCTCAAGAACCAAACATTCTGAACTGAAAACACAACAAACAGAAGCTAAACAAGGAATAAGCTCAAATGGATTTAGATAAGTATGATTCAAGTGAATAACTAGATTAGACAATGTATTTTAGATAAGTATAATTCAAGTGAATTACTAGATTACACAATGTTTCAATTCAACAACAAACGACATATCAAACCAAAAAAAAAAAAGTTTGTTTAGTAAATGTGTGAATTATGCAATTGAGTTTGATAGTGAAACAAATAATTAAGATAGAAAAACGCAAATTCAATTGAGAGAATTTTTAGAAGCTTTTGAAGGCACCATTTTGGAGATAAGGCCCGTATTCGGTGGCAGAGAGGTGCATCTTGATGTCGTCTAGGGTTTCGCACTGGCACAAATTGTTGTAATCGGCAGCGGTGAGCAAACCAGATCTGTGGCCCCTCACGATTGCTTCGAGGTAACCGCCATGAATATTGAAGGTAAGGGCTTCAAATCCGTACATTTTCTTAGAGGTTGAGAAACAGATCTGAAAAGTATATATGTATATATAGAGAGAGAGAGAGGTGTGAGAACGACCCCTCCAGAAAAACCCTAACGATGCAGAAGGGGAGGACAATTGCAAGGTTAGAGGTGGAGAACAGAGGTGATAGTCTGGTGCAGAGGAAAGAGGAATTCCAGTCACCTCTTTGTCGTCGGTATGCCACGCGCTGGATAGAGGATAAAGCTGGTAAGATTTGCAAAAGTGGGGTCAGAAGATATTTTAAGTACATATTATTAACCTGCAGGTTTCTTTTCATTTTTTTTTTTTTTTTTTTTTCCTCGTAAAATTCTTTTAGAAGTGGAAATCTAGCGTACTGAAGAATAATGGGAAGGAAGGGGATCAATAATATTAGGGCAAATTATACAAAGAACCCTTAAGTTTTTAATTTTTACAATAAAATTTGAAAATCAACAAAAAGGTTCAAATTAATTGTTTGTGGTTAGTGGATTGATATGAATTTACATTTTTGTCTTTAGAGTTAAATTATTTGTTTAATGAAAAAATGTAAAAAAATATTTGTGTATTGTTAAAGTTACGGTTTTGCCCCTAACCCATTACCAAGCAGTGATTTTGGGTTTGTGGTCGCCGGTAAAGATGGATTTGCAACGGTAATCGTATTGAACCAAATCGGAGGGAGACGCCAATTGAACATCGAGATAAACTAAACCACCAAACCTTCAAATCTGACATTTCATCACCCACCTTCACGCCGCTTGGGTTTGAATCAAAATTTGATATAGGTGGTGCCAGAGATTGCAACATCGCTACAACCACCAGTCTTGATTTGCAGGTGGCGGCCATGGGTTTACCAAATTGTCATCAATAAATCGATTTGCAGCAATGGCGGCGGCGACATAATTTCATGCCTTCAACACGCGCTGGTAATTGCAAATCGCGTGCTTTGCACGCCCCTCACGCCGCGACAGTCGTCTTCTTCCTCAGATCGCCAATTTTTTCCTCCACGTTTCTCCATCAAAACCCCCAATTTTTCAACCCAAGAAGGCTAAGGATGATTCTTGACTTTCATTCCCTCCAAGATCAGAGTACGATCCCATCTTTTTCCATCAGCGGCACGTTGTTGGTGGTGAGAATTAGGGTTGGGTGATGGATAAGCAGATGGGCGTTGCAGCGTTAAAGAAGAAAGTTAGGGTTGCAGTGTTGGTGAGGTGGGATTTGGGTGATAGATGGGCATGACTGATGGGTGGAGTTGAGGAGGGGTGAATTGGAGATGATTGTGATACCCCTCGATTCTAGAGTCACGGGTGATCAAGTCCGAGCACAGATCTGAGGGATACCAAACAATTAATATGTAAATAAGCACTGAATACAAAAAATGAAATAAAAATAAAATAATAAACTGAAAGAATATTAAATTAAAATCCTCAAAATAAAATTATTAAAATCCAATAATCCAAAACCTCCATTAATAAACAACTCGGGAATCCATCCTAGTAGACCCCTGATAATATCTCAAATTGAAACAAAATATAAAGCTAAACATGGAAAGTAATCATACGTAGTCGGAAGAATGAGTGTCTGTATCTGCACTGCACGACCAAGCTCTAACCCTGGAACTGACGAACACCTGAAAAATAATAGAATGGGTCAGGCCCACATGCAAGTTCTATCCTACTATAATCCATACAAAAACTAAATACACAGATACATCCGAGATAGCTCAACAATAACTAGAATAATCCATAAATGTATAAATACACACTAGAGGATGCTCACTAGTCCAATAGGTCTGTCTTAGCCTGAATAGAAATACCATGCAAATCGCACATAACGTGGTCATGTGTACCTAGACCTATCAGGGAACAACACATATGTCCAATTATCTATCCTAGGCGATATACGCACCCTAACCATGGTCCTAAAACTCAAGCTCATACCATGGCACCATAACATAAATATATAAAGTCCGTATACTCTGTGATACCCCTCGATTCTAGAGCCACAGGTGATCAAGTCCGGGCACAAATCCGAGAGATATCAAGCAATTAATATTTTAAAACGAATACAGATGACAAAGAAAATAAAAGAAATAAGTATTAAGCTGAAAAGAAATTCTAACTGTAAAACCTCCAATGATAAAACTTTAATACTATTTAAAGTTTTCAATCCGTACAACTCGGAAATCCAACTAGTGGACCCCTAATAATCCCAAAAGATAAAACTTTACAGAATTAAAATCCAAAACTAAAATCAGAAAGAAAATCCTATTTAGTTAGAAGAGTGAGTGATTGTATCTACATCACCACGAACAAGCTCTAAGCCTGGTACTGTCGAATACCTGAAAAATAAGAGTGGGTCAGGACCACATGCAAGTTCCATACTACTACAATCCATACATAAACCCGATAAGCAGATACATCCTAGATAACTCAATAATAGCTAAAGTAATCCATATAGATATAAATAAACACTATAGGATGTTCACCAGCCCACATAATCCGTCTCAAACCGAGTAAAACAACCAGGGAAACATCATCAGGCCTAGTTATCAATCCTAAGCGACATATGCACCCTAACCGTGATCAGGAAACTCAAGCTCGTATCACGGCACCATAAATATATATTTAAATCCTTCTTAATACAGAAAAATAAAAATAAAAATAAAAAATAAAGCAACCATCCATTATGTCGTTCAACTGTTTTAGTTGACAGGACATGCATCCATGTAGGAGTTAACTGTTTTGGTTAATCCATTCCATATGTATGAAGGGGTAGGACTTAACTTTTTGATCTAATCCATCTCTAATATGTCACCGTACCATACCGGTACATATAATGCAAATGATCCACAAATGATGCACATTCATTAGAACATCAAATACATCCAGAGTCCGACATAATAGCAATCAGATATAAGTAAGATTCTATTATGCATATAGTACATAATTAAAATCACGAAACATTCATTCAAATTGCTACAGTAATGATAAACAATTTAAACTATCCATTCCCTATATAATTGACAGAACAGGAATTATATTAGTTCAGCAATTAACATCCATAACATGATATAATGATTTTTAGAATTTTAAACTGATCACATTAAATTAGAATTCCCAACCGATACTTCCATACTAGCCCGTTTGAATTACTAAAACAAAGGCTAGTAAACAAATCCTCCTATATCCTTGATAGTATGCAAAGTAATATAAAAACTCATGCTATCCTTTTAAATCTTTAATTATAAATCCTTTGCCGGATATAACGACACTCAAAAGTCTAGACGGAGTACATTATACAAATTTCCAAATAGTACTTTCATTCTAGTCCATTTAGTTCGCTAACACAAAACTAGCAACTAAGACTTCTATAACTCCTGACAGCATGCAACTTCTAGTTAAAAATTACATGATGTCCATACCATAGTGTAACCAACTTCCTGGGACTTAATGTGTCAAATACATCATTGATATAAAATCCTCAAATGACTTTTCATATTAGTCCATTTCAATTGCTAAAACAACTAGCAATTACATCTTCATTTCCTTGACAGCTTGCACACAAATATTCATAATTCATGATGTCCCTTACCACAGCCTATACTAACTGTTTAAAGGATTCAATAGGTTAATCTTAAACATTTAAAACTCCCCATAACTTTCCAGAAAGTCCTTTCAAGCCTCTGAAATCACAAAATATCTGAAAAACACCCCGTAGGGCATTTTTACAATGGAGCCGGCTCTAGAACCCTTGGAGCCGGCTTCTAACCTTCCAGAGCCGGATCTTCCTCATGGGAGTCGGCTCCTCCATTGGAGAATGGGGGGAGCCGGCTCTCCCCTTGAGAGCCCCCTCTGTTTCGTCTCTACTTTGTCCAGTGATCTTCTGTGCTTCCGGCGAAGTTCAACGTCCCTGTCCCAAATATTTTTAACATACCTAGGGTTCAATTTAAGTTCTTATTGTCCTAGAAACTTCTCACCTTCTAGTTTGAATTAATTGACAAAAATCTAAACCGAAAACAAAAACAGTTTATGTTTCCTCTGTTCGTCTTCCTTGATTCCGGTAAAGTTCCATCATCTGTTCCAAAGTTTTCTTAAAGTATTTAAGGTTCAAGATAAGTCCCAACAGTCCTAGAAACTCCTCAATTTCTATTACGAATTGTTTGATAGAAGTTCAAACCAAAAATAACACAGTTTATGCAAGAAACCGATTTCAGTTACTTAAACGTAAAACAAGTTACAGTCCAACATAACATGCATTAACCATCAGTTTTAAAAGTTGAATTAATTCCCTGGAGACTATAAAGAATGCACATAACACAAGTTTATAGGAAAGAGATAGAATGAAACTTGCCTTTGGTTTCAGCTTTGAAACATAAACCACCGACTCAGCGTTTTCCGACAGATTCCCAAATACCGTTCAACCCCTCCGTTGCTCTTAGTTCTATCCAGAAGCAACCCCTTCTTTCTCTTTTAGCCTCACAGGTTATCTCTCAAGACCCTCTCTGTTTTCCTCTCAAGCTTCCCTCTGTGTTTTCCTCACAAGAATTACTACGTGAATAGAGTTTTCAACCACAGCTGACGTAAACCAAGCATATATATATACGGCTAAACCCTAAGTTGGATTATACAGTATATATATAATAGCTTCCACTAAACCCTAATTCTAAACCCTTTAAATTACAAGTCGACTACCCTAAATTACATAAAGAATAAAACCCTAATATACACGACACGCACAATTTAACCAACTAGTCCACCTTAGCACATATGTAATTAACACAATTAAATCAAACAAACTATCAAACAAAATACGTCATTTAAATCACCAATTAATCAAATAATAAAATACAATAACCATTAAACAATTAATTTAAAATAAATAAACAGATACAATTAAACAATCAACTTAAATAAATACACACTTAATCAATTAAGCAAACAAGCACATAATTCAGTAAAAATGCAATAAAATCCTCAATTAAAATTCTCAAATTATCCTTTTAAAATTAGGGGTATTACATTCTTCCTCCCTAACAAAAGGAATTCCGTCCTCGAAATTCACAAATTTTTGAATTCTTTTATTGTAAGTTCATTTCCATTCCGTTGTGGACTTTGCCTCTTTGATGGCTCCACAAAATTCCCAAATCCTCAAAGAAAAGCTATGGTTTCATTATTTAAGAAAATACCAAAACTACACATAGATCACATGACATAACAATTCATCTTTA